GGGGGGGGGGGTCCATCAATAGGTTGGTTGGAGGGCCTCCATTTGCATCAGTAAAGACAAACCTCCTTGAGGACTTGTAGTTTCTCCTCTCTGCAATTCAATTAATTTTTTTTGTCTCTAAGCACGCTTCTAGCTGAATCGACCCCATGCCCGTACGAGAATTACGAGTAGTAGTAATTTACTAGGCCTCGAGAAATTCCCAGGTTAAGAAGTAATGGAACCATGCTACGCGTTATTCCAAAATCGAGACACTACCAAGTGGGCGAAACTTGAGGGTCAATTGCCTTGGTATTGTCAAGGTAAAAGAATGTAACCTAACAATACGTAGTAAAAAGGAGTCCAAGCAAACTAGTAAACTAGGACCAAGAATAGAACGTTGGAGAGCCTGCTGCAAACTTTTTCCGTTTCGCCAGCAACACAGTAGTCCTTAAAACTAGTTAGACCTAGATCTAATAGTAGAAACATCAGTTGTCTAAAGACTAGCGGTTTTCAAAACGGAACGACCCAATTCTTCCGAGGTCAATTTTATGTTTTCCATTGGTAGGACCCGGAATTGACCTGTATGGAGGGCCACTTGGCCAGGATGAACTGAATCAATTAGTATTGCATATTCTCTTCTGAGCTCGCCAAGATTACTACTCACACCCAGACATGCAATGTCACAGGGGCAGATCGAATTTCCACGCCCTGAATGTAACTGTAAATTACTTAGTAACGGTACTCAGTCAGGGAAAGGATGCGTTGCTTACGGAGAACCAGAAAGGGAGTGGTCTACCCCAATAGCGCGTGTCTCTGTGCGATCCTTGCCGTTTTTGACGTCCCACTTGATCTATCATAACGATTGGTAAGCACGGATCATATGTAGTCAAGGTACATCTGACTCACCCAGGCATCTCCATCTTTAGGCTGGCCGTTCTCAAACTCAGCTTCATCAAGTTCACGCACAGGTGCGGTGTTATCAGCCTCGCTTGACATGTTGACAGGTACACCAAGAGTGTGAATTCGGCTTGGAATGTAGATTTTTTAGGTAGTTGGTTTACTTGAGCACAAGATTTTGGTTTGGAAATTATCTTTAGGTAGCTAGCAGTAAGCTATTTATATCCAATTCTCAAAACTAATCGCCCGAGATCTATTCTACTTTTTCTCTTGTTGCCTTCCTATCCCCATTTACCGCATTGGAATCGGTCAATCTGCAAGTTTCGGATATCATGCAAGCTACATCTCTGTGGCTGGCTGTTATTGCCATATCCGGACACACTTGCTGAAATGGCGTCTGCCACTGACTCTAGGAGACTGAACTTGTTGGCTAGGTTGTGGTTTCTATTCATCGTCACTTTGTATTGTATGCCGGTGAATGCCATGGTAGATGTACTCTGAAGGCCTTATCCTGTAGAACCAAAGTATATTACTATCGCCAATACTGAGACTGTCCATCTCGCGAAATACTCGGGAATTGCAAGGATGATCTTGCAAATGACTATATGCTGGAAACCATGTTATTCATATGCAAGGGCGCTTGCGGTGGTTACAAAGTACCACGAGTCCTGAAGCAGTGTACGCCATGCCACGTACGTAAAACAAATGTCCCGTATGCTTGCTTTTTGCAGCGGGTGATATCTACGGGTATTATTAGCCCCATGCGCAGGCCAAATTGACACCCTACAACAGAGCAGATAAAACATGAAATACTGCACGTGAAAGGTCAAACCAACTTCGAGACAAGTGCGGGGAGTCGATTCAACCTTACAATCTAGATGTCGTATTATTAGTCACGGCGTAGGGACTGCATGTAAGCCCAACCAAGCACTCCATAGGGCTATGGTGCTCCTTTTCCCCTCTTGAAAATGTTACCAACCACTAGTCATTATGCGTCGATCCGGTATGCATTTCGTTAAAACGACTCATCTTCCAGCTTCTGTCTGTCAATCAAACCGTAGATCGGGCAAATTATCGGCGCTTAAACGAGGCGGATATCAAGACCTGTTTCAAATGGTTTGCAGGGGACCAAATTTGTGGGAAGACTATACGCGGTTGAACTACAGAGTTGGGGCATGAATGTAGCCTCGGCATTGCATGTACTAAGTTTGTCATGCGGAGATGGCGAACAAGTCTCCTTCGCTCTAGGTGTTTACTGACACTGCAGAGTGACTAATAACCTGTCTTGATGTGAATATGCATTACTGCCTTGGGTAAAGAAACAGGTGTGACGTGCAGCAGCAGAGCCAACATAATCGCTTTGTTGTGATCTGGACGCACGGCAGCTTTACGGGGGTCTTTTTATTTCATATCAGAATCAATATGCATATGCCGTCTCCAAGAGCAGTAGCAGATCTTCCTGCCATCAGGACTAGTCAGAAACACCGGTCAGCTGTACATGTCAATCCTCATCATAGAGCGCGCACCGAGCGGTCGGCTCCAGGTACTTCACCGATGTCTTAAGTTGTTCCGTGATCGGGGCCCAGAAACTACCGCAAGTTCGATGCCGGCGACAGGCAAGCGTCGATGTATATTGAAATCCGTTTGCAAGGGTGTAGTGACAGAGCCGCTCGATCGACATGGACCGACTGGGGACCCTTGGATCGGCTTCGAAGCTTGGCTTAACAATTGAGACATATGACACGGAATAACAACGCCGGTGAGCACTCAGCACTTGCGCCATCTGCGGCTGTGATGTGCTTGATGCAAGAAGCGATTCGCTTCACGGCACGGCTCGGCACGGCTTGGAGTTCCTCGTGGCTTACTCCGTATTCGTCCAGGAGTAGCTGGGCTGAGACATGCGGTTGCTACGGTGCGCAACTTTCTGGGTTTGTGTCCAATGGAGAATAAATAAATAAATCGATAGTTGAGTAGGTTTGATGCAGTCACCGAGTTTCTGTTGCCCTCTCCCTCTTCAAACGCCCAAACTGTGCTTTCAGGCAGCATACTGAAGCCACCTGAATGATGGGCCGTATGTGGCGCCATTGGGCCGCGACACGGCCTCTCCCCTCTCGTTGCGCGTATTTTTGTATTATACCAGACCGCTTTGGAGTTGTTGGCTTGACCGCCGGTGATGTCCAGGTTACACTCGTGATGAGGAAGGAGCGGGGCGTTTGGACAGCCACCTTTTAAGGCTGACTGCATGGCAGTTACACGGCATGTCCTGCCCAGCAATGCTTAGTCGTTGGGTCTTTTTCCGTTGCAGTGGAATGCCTCGAGACGGGTCGGATACTTGCAACGGATAGCACAAAACCTCTCGTACGGGGGAGAAGATGCTTGTGTGTCTACTTTCCAAGGAAGACCGTGCCTCGAGTATGGATTTCGCGAGCAAGCTACAAGCTGCAGGGCACGCACATTGAGTATGTCCTACATGCTATACTCTGTAATTATGCCAAAGATGCAAGGACAACATGACAGAAATGCCGTATCGTATAAATCTTTGTACAGATAACATAATGACGAGAAGGATTATCCTCTTCCGGAATTCGTTCGACTCAATCAATCAATTTCGAGACATCTACACCGCAATTTATGAGACAGTCTAAAGTGTCAAAGCCTAACTCTGGTGGATGCAGTACGTTCGATTATACAGGCGATCTGTGCTGGGATCAGGCCGCGTATACTTCTTTGCTAGGCGACGGTTATTCTGCAAGATACGATGGATTGATTTGTCAAGTCCATGTCAATGGAGCCCATACTGCGCCGAAAGTCCATTCGCGAGAGTTCATAGCTGGTCTGGGAAGAACGTAGTTTCAAAGGCCTGGGTTTCCATGGCCTTGCCAAAGTCGGTACCGGAATACTCCCCCTTTTCCGTTTTTTTTTTTCGTCACGCTCATCACGACATCTCCAAGTTTGATATCGTGCTTGGAGCTTGGCGCAGCGCCTCCAATGCCAACCATCATGTGTTTCGTCAAGGGGGGAATACGCGGCCACGTCTTGGGTGCCTTGAGCGCAAATCTAGCCAATCGTGTAGGCCTTGGGATCCAACATGGCCAAAAGCTATGGATTGACTGTTGAGTGCTTGGAGGTTCCCGGGTATTGTCGCCGAACCAGTAATCTTTCCTATTGCCAGGTCATCTCTTGATTCTACGAAACGTGAGGCTGTAATCTCGCATCCGAGCTGATTATCATGCAACACCATAAACCTGAAATCCAATTTAAGTATTAGCATATAAAAGTGATGAGAAATCCAGCCTTATGAAAGTGTTAAAACTATATCATGTTTCGGGTATCTTCCAGTTAGTCTTCTTTGGCTGACTCTCCCTGCAAGGGACTAGACCAAGAAATCTATAACATGCTACTCAACTGGGATTATAAATTTATGTGAGATGAATCTTTGCTATTTTCCCGCCGCTCAAGCAGGCATTGATGTTGCCAAAAGCGGCGGCGGCCGTAGCCGTTTGCACGACGCGTAGAGCCTGGGGTTCAAAGGAACCCGCATAGTTCCCTAGTGCCGAGAGCGTTGATGACTTGACATGGAACAAATCGGCTGGCTCCTGTTTAGTAAAGGAACTAGCATCGGGCAGCCAGGTTGGTCGCCTGCGAGCCCTCTTTGCCCGGCGGCCTTCCCAGGGGGGTGGAACATGTCCCGGACTCCCGGCCCGTCTCCGGTGCTGTCTGGTGGATTCCGCCGATAGTGCGCCAACACTCTGTGTTCTTTATTTTCATTGTTGACAGATTCGTAGAGTACTACTCCGTAGTACCGGCATATCCACGGCTATAAGCCGACTTTAAAGCTGGGTAAGAGATCAGACGGAATTTTGAGTCGTCGAGTAGAGAAAGTCTCGTCCGCTCCGCCGGGTCCCGGACTACGACAGAAGATTGACCATTATGCAATCATTCATAAGCGCGCCGAGGAGACGGTGAGTCTTCCTAGGGGACCACGGAGGATGAACAAGTACGAAGGAGGGCATTGAATTGCGCTGACAGGGATGACTGAGCCATATACATGCAACCGAGGCAACTACCGCTACATCTTGCACCAACTCACCTGCCTAATCCCCTTGTCCGCTCTAACAGCCACTGAAAGGTCGGCAAAGAAGAAATTCTCTTGAAATTATGAGTAAGTAATCCGCTGGACCGTATCGTATAGCATCCCGTCATCGAACCGTCTCAGTGACGACGTAGCACTCGCAAACGTCACACTCGTTACTGCCAACATATAAACACTTGTCCTGATAACGATACTCTGCTCAAATAATAAATACGCACGCAGCATCCATCAACAAAACTCGGTAGAGAGCATAAATAAGCTGCCACGGCGGAAAAGGAAACGCTTCGCTTTCAGCAATATTCCAGACTTGAGCTGCCGCCCAGGCTGACTAGTACGTGCAAGGCACGATACTAGCCCGACCGCCATCGGTAAGCAACACGTTTCCATCCACATAGCTGCCCGCCCTGCTCGCCAGGAACAAGACGGCACCAGCCATGTCCTCCTCGGAGCCCACCCTCTCCAGCGGCACAAAGCTGTTGGCAAGACTCCCCTCTCGACGCGGCTCGTCCGTCTCCTTCATAAAGGCAATATTCTCCGTCATCTCGCTCGGGTAGAACCCGGGAGCAAGGTTATTGACCCGGATCTTGTACGGCGCCAGCCGAGTCGCAAGCTGCTTGGCCAAATGCCCAGCGGCGGCTTTGCTCGGCCCGTAGGCAAAACTCGCCTTCGGGCGGCGGGAAAAGCCGCCCATGGACGTGACTACAACGACCTGCGACTTTTGCGGCACCGCGTCGCGCTTGTTTCCCTCGTCCAGCAGGTCCAGGAAGGCGACCGTGGTGTAGAAGACCCCGGTGACGTTGACGTGGAACGACTGGGTGAAGTGCTCCATGCTATGCTGCCACAGTCCCTCTTGGAGGGCCTTGATGTCGATTTCCTGCCGGCCAAGGTACTGGGAGGCATCTGCAGTGCTGACGCCGCTGTTGGCGAATACCACGTCGCAGTAGCCGCAGTCTTGCCGCACCTTGTCTGCCGCAGCGCGCAGCGACTCCTTGGACGTCACGTCGCAGACGACGGGCGTGATGTTTTCCGGGTGAGACGAGGTAGATTTTGTGGTTTCCAGCGATGCTTCGCGGCGCCCAAGGATGTACACCCTCTTTGCGCCGTTGGCCACCAGGGCGTGGGCAATGATTCTGCCAATGCCGGAGCCACCGCCTGTGATGACGGCCACAAGGTTATCCACCCTGAACAAGGTGTGAGAGTCGTAACGATTGCTCATTTTGTTTTTTTTTTTAAATAAAGACGACTGTGATTCCGGATGGAGGGTAATCGAGCGAGGAAGAATGTTGGGTTGCCAACGTTCGCTGCGGGGCAAGACGTGCTGAGAAAGCCTTGCGTGTGACGAGATGATGAATACAAGCAAGAGATTGGTGGGGTTCATCCCTTGTGGGACAACATCAGGACTTTTGGGCATCCGTCATTACTCGATAGCGAACAGAAACAGGCCGGACCAAATCGACGTCACACAACTGACCTTGTCGTAAATGAAATTGCTCCGTACGAGACCGTTACGTGCCCACTTCCAGCACAGTCAAAACGCACTTCGTCACTGACAAGCATCATCCAGCTCAACCCAATGAGATTAATATTTCCAAGTGACTACGTAGGAATCAATATACATGCGCTGGGCTCTAACAACTATAATCACAGTCTGTATGATGCAATCGCCTTGGAGAAAAACCATCCAAATATCGCTCCAGTCTAAGTAAGCAGCACCTCCAAAGCCCTACCAACGCCAAATAATGCACATACAAATAAAGAAAAAGAAAAAAAAGAGGGTGGCAACAGTCGCCAATCATGTCATTGCTCATGTGAAAAATCTTCTTCGCTCCAAATGCTTAATGCTTGTATTTCTAATTCATCGAGTTAGCACTCCAGCATGGTTAGACAGTAGAGCGAGCAAACTTACCTCGCTAATCCGCCGCTTGTTATCCTGATCCAAGGCATTGGTTGCTCCCATAAGCGTCTGTCCTATGGCCTTGGTCACACCAACTGCAGGTCGGAATATGATGGTTGGCGCTCTCTTCCACATGACCTTGGCAGCACCACTCGCTGATTGCGTTGCCATGATCTCGCCAGGCACTGCGATAATGGCATCCCGTGCAAGGTTGACGTCTCTTGTGAGCGACCTAAATCCACCGCGAATGCCCTGCAAAACACCCGCCGGTTGGTCCGCGTACAATGATATCTGCTTCTTGTCTTCCGGGTCCAGGTCGTCATCCTCCCAATTGCCTTCTGCCTGACCACGCTGGGTGAGCATATCTTCGGCCCCCTGGAGAGCATACTGCGTTCCCACAGCAAGTTTGGCGCCGAGTTTGACAAGTTCTGTGCCAGTCGTCTTGGCAAATGCCACTGCTCCCTTTGAAATACTCCGTATGACCCTACCATCCTTTCGGTATTCCCGCAAAGGAATCTCAACCAAGTCTTTGAACCCGCTGCCAATATTTACGAGGGATCGGACAGGCGCAAGTCCAGCTACAACTCCAGGTAGCTGATTGTTTCGGACATCCGGCATCCAAATGTCATTTAATGTTTTGCCAAGGCGATCAAAGCCTGCAACGCCGTAAATGATGGTGTGGCGGAGTACCATTCGAGACTCCTCCAGCACGATGAAGTTCATAAACTCGGTGGTGTGACCAGATCGCAGACCGCCATAATCAACCCTCTTCGGCTTGAAGTCGAGCTTGACTGGAATGTCCATCACCTCCGCGCGCTGAAGGAAGGGGACATCGCTTGGCGATGCATGAACAGGTACTTTATCGTCCTTGAACTCAAAGAACCGAGTAATGAAGTCCAGGGCATCTTGATCCACATGCAGTCGTAGTGGCAAGACTGTTGCGCGGAGGACGATTTCCGAAGCAGCCAATTCTGCAATTGGCTTCACATTCAGCAGCTCCATGTGGATCATGCTGGTACCCATTTCGCGCTCTCCGTGATCTTGGTCGTATGTCGCAAACTTCTTCCATGTCGATGTGGGGACGTGGTCGAAAATATCGAAATTCTGAACCCGGGCGTCGATACTGCTGACCGTCTCTACACTGCCAGGTGGGAACATGACCATGTCCACATTCACGCCCTGTAGCTCAAATGTGATTTTGTGGTGCTTGCTGCGATGTAGTCGCAAACGCCTGGACTTGGGATGGCTGCGTCGTGCGGTCCGTGTCGTATTCATTGTCATAGCTGTCGTCGCTACAGACTCCGTTTCTGTCGCGTTATCATTCAGCCCCTCATTGATGGCCCGCGTAAGGTCCCGAGGATCACGGTTGGAGGGTATTTCAATGTAAATAGAGTTGAAGAGAAAATCTCCAATGGTTTCCTCATCATCAGTATCCTCCTCGTAAACCTGCACACCGGATCGCCGAGACTGGCGCTCGGTAGCTTTCAGTTCCACATCTTCAACAGCCTTTGCAATGACATCACGAGTACCAGTCCAATCATACCCATCGAACAAGTTCCAGATAACATGCACGTCCCGTACCGACACCTTGATAGGACTAGCATGTATGAGATTGGCAGGTGCTCTGTCGTAAGAATTGTTGTTTGAGTTCCATACCATCGCCGCATGTTCTTCAGGCGTGTTGTCATCATAGAAGTTGTCATGTATTACCAAGTCGTCATTGCTCTGGGTCAATTCACTCCGAGACTGGCTGAATCCTGTGAGCAAGACGCCTTCATTCGTGTCTTCCATTAAAGCATCCTGTGACAATTCCATGCTCTTTGTTGCGTCAAACAATTCTTCACCCGCTGATTGAGATCCATAAAACCTAGAGTCTACTGGGAGCAGTTTGCCACTCCCAAATTCATCTTCAGAGCCGCTTCCCACCATCTCTTGTGCTCCTGCAAAATCTTGGTCAAAGTCGTATTCACCTTCTGGTCGCCCAAATGCCTCAGCGGAGATGGAGGCTAGAAGATCTTGTACTGGGAGGACCTTTGTTCTGTATTTATTCTCTTTCGAAGGAGGGGTCGGAGGCTTCAAGGCATTGGCCAAGGTAATGAGCGTTTGTGTGGAGTCGGCACAGGTTTCCAGCACCAAGAGATCGTCTCGTACTTCGACTTCGATTTTTGCCTCGCTCTCCGGGTCGGGGATGATGACAGCAACGACGCTTGCCGATGATATGTAGCATATATCTACAAACCCAAGAGCGCAGAGTTCTTCTACTTGCGGAGAGACGGGAGACGACGACCGAACTCTTGGACTTTCGGCCTGCTCTCCTATGCTCTGAATTTGTTTGACGTCGTCCGTTAAGAGAATGGAAGCCTTACTAACGCCAACCGCAACCTTCGTCCTGCCGTGATTAGGTAATACGGCCTCCACGTGCGCATCAGTCAGTGCCACAATCATTTTCGATGGCAGACGGTAAGGGTTCAGTCCAATGACGCAATCTCGCAAAGCCAGGTCTAGAATCGTGGGTTTGTTGGGAGCTGTGGGCTTCTCAGCGCCAGGTGAAGCTGGCCGGCCCAAAAGAGCCGTGTGAGCTTGATCCCCCAAGATTGCAACCGATGCCGCAAGACCAGCTTCAAAATCTTGCGGGGTAGCATCGCTTCCAAGATCGAGAAAGTCCATAATAGTGGCGACCCTGTATTCAAATCTCAGGTCCTGTAGTTTGAGTTTTATAATGGGCTCGATTTCATCTCCAATCATTCGCACCATAAGAACCGGGCCGTTTGTTGTTGAATCCGGTGCACCTTCTAAAAGGCTAGAACCAATGAGTTCCTCATTCCTATTTCGCCGAACATTGATACCGTGGACTGCAACAGCAATTAGAGATGGAACGGTAATTTGGCCAACCTCGAGACCTCGAATGTCGCAAGTAATATGGCCAATATTTTCGACAAGTTCGCAATTGAAGGAGAGCTTCTGTACTCGGGTCAGTGTGAGCAGGCCAGGCCGGTCATCCTCTGGCAGATATTTGGCAACTGCTGCCAGTTTGGCAATCTCCTCGCCAAGGGCCGGGAGAGCAGAAAGCTGGCCAATGTTCTTGACAGACACGTTAACGGTGTCCAAAGTGGCTCTTAACACAGAGCCTTTCCTCCTCTGTCGCAGGAGGGTGTCGACCATAACTTCATCATTGTCGTGGTCAAACTTGACTTTGGAGGGAATGATGAGCTCAAGCAGCTTCTCAAGGTCCGTGTCCATTGGCGCCATAAGAAACTCTAGCCTCATGCCTCCGACTTCTGCACTGATGGCCGGGTCTGACAACGAATACTTTAGATACGGCCCCGAAATGCGTAGTCTGCTACAACCAATGCCAATACCCTCGTCTCTGCTGACGACCTTTAAGGCGCTGGTCTCGACAGCTACACTGCAATCTTTACCGACAAGTTCTATCAATGCTCCCCCGACTCTCAAATTGATCTTGTTCTGCGCTGAGGCTGACTTGTCTTTTGGGTCAATTGGCGTGGCAAATCGAACACCGCGGGGTTTTGGTGACAGAGTCTGTATGGACTTTGTTGTTGGTGATAGACTGGAAGTCATGGACGCGCTCATATTAAGAAAGCTGCTGAGTCCACCAAACCAGTCAAAGGTCTCGTCAAGTCGCTGTAAATCGATCTGAATGACCAGCGGAAGTGTTTCCACATTTGTTCGGACGGTATCTCCAGACTGCAAGATTTCGATGCCAATATCGTAGCCAGTGGAAAGGAAAGAGTCTCTAATGGATGTACTCATCTGCCTTGCGCCATCAAACGAAAGTATGTCACCCCTTGCGTACCCGAAGCGGAATTTTTCAAGCTCAATCCTTGTTAGCGTGTCGCCTTGCTTAGGCAAGGAGGGCCTGCTCCCCATCATGGAGACTTTTGTATTGACCAACACAGGAACACATGATAGCTTCAGATTGTTAAGAGTCATGTTCAGGAGGACCTCTTCGTCAACATTGATTAAGGGAAAGTCCACATGCGGGTGCGATGGATTAATCAAGCCACTTAGCCTATTAAGAAAGTTGACTGTGATTTCCTCCACAGAAATTTGCATGCGAGGCACAGCTGCTGCTTTTGAGTCTTGCTTTGTTGTTTGCCGAGAGGGCTGCTTATCACTCTTCAACGCCTGAAGAAGCTTTTCCATAACCCCAGCTAGTAAGAAGGCAATGGAAGCATCAAAGTTGATGATGATTGGGGACAAAGTTATTTCTAGAACCCCGTTTTTTCCAGAGTCCGGTGATTCTTTATTAGGAGGCTGGGGCTGCCCAGGCGATGGGGAGTTATGAATGGAAAATGCTCCAGGAGCTTGAGGATATATAGATGACTGCCCCAGTGATTGCGAAAGTCGGTTGAGCGATTCGGGAGAGTCGACATGAACATGAATGTGCTGATGCTGTGTGGGAAGGTAGATTGAAATATTATGAAGCCGCATTATCTCCTTGACTAGCTTTGGTGGGCCTCGAGGGGCAGCACCGCCATCAGACGCATGGCCAAGCGGTGGTTGTCGCTCAGAGCGTGATGGGAATGCCCGACCAGATGCGGGTGGTGGCAGAGTGCTGTAGCCATCAGATGTAGTTTTCTTCTCGTTAGCAACAGGTCCCGGTTCTCCAACCTCGTCCGCGGATCGCACAAGAGGGTCAGGCAGCGTATTCATACTATCATCCCAGGCTCCTGGCATAGTTGGTGTCATCGGCCGAGTATCCTCGGTTTGCAGCTCAACGAGCGTCTCAGCAGGCTGATCCACATCGATTGGTAGTACATCTGCCGCACCTGTTTTCTCCCGTGTCTCTAAGTCTTTGGAATTTCCAACGTCCTGTTGTGCTTCGACAGCCTGCGAATGTTCTAGCCCTTCAGACACTGCCATCTCCTGGGCCTGCGTTACATCCTCGGGCGTATCCTCGGGCGCCTCGGGATCCCGCTCATCCACCAAGGATATATTTCGTGGACCAGCAGTTTGTGAAAACGCACTCATATACATGCTCTCCGCTTCTTCATGAGTATAGATCTGCGATTGCGCCAAATCGGCCACAGATGCAGACCCTGACAGCAGCTGGCTTCTTGACGAAGGAGACGCTTCGCTGTACAGGTCCGCAGAGGCCAGATGAGACGAGCCAGTTTCGTGATACTGTTCGGCGTGACCCAAATTATCGTGTACAGCGGCCAAGCCTGGCCCTAGGAGCTCACTATGCATAGGTGACGCCATGCTAGATTCAATAGTAGAATGAAATAGATGCGATGATCTTGGAAATTCGCAGGAGTCGAGATATTTCGATGCGCGGGGGGTTAGTGGGCCTTGTTCGTCCAAGTCGCCTTCGGATTCCTCATGCGGGTCATGCTCCGTATCCGATAAGTCATATGGTATCGCTAGTGCGTCCTCGCTGTCACCAAGAGGGTAGTCTTGGCTATCTGAAGCTTCATCGTCCGATAGGCGCCCCCGAAAACTTTCCTGGAGGGCTGCCATAGGCTGTTCATGGAAGCTGCCCTGTGATAGGAAAGTGGCTTGTCGAGAGGGTGGGTTTCTCGTCATGGCTGGTGAGGAAGCAAGGGATGGAGAGGCCGTGGATGGCGAACGGGTCAGCGAGGCAAAGGCACCGGCCTCGGATATCAAACAGGCGCGGATACTCGAAAGCGAAACATGGCGTTTACCCTCCTGGTGGACGATTTGCGCAGCGCCGCCATCTCCCCCTTGAGCATCGGCGGTGATGCCTTCAACGTTAATTTGTCCCAAGGCAACCTGGAAAGAAACTGGCTCGAGCTTGGATGAATTCAACTCAGCAGGAACCTCCAGGTCCAGCTGGAAAACAACGTTGTTTATGGAGATCTGTGTCCGGTCCACAATGCCCTGTAAAAAGTCTGTCAGAAATCCAGGCAGCGACAGCGGCTGTCCTGTGCCGAATTGCGACTCGTCTTCGCTTCCATCCTCGCTCATTGTGACGGATGCGCCCAAATCGTTGGTTTCTGCAGCCAGCGCATCTTCTAGTTGCTTCCTCTCGGAAAATGGCTCCGTTTGCAGAAAAGACTGCGCCAAATCGGCCGTATTTGGAACCACAGAAGCTTCCTGAGTTGGCGTACTCGATGTCCGAGCCGTCTTGCATATATTACCCAGAACTTTTAAGCGGACGTGGACACCATCGACTTGGACAATAATGGGGCTCGTGTAGAAGTCCATGGGTATAGTTATGCGGAGGAGAAGCACCTTGGCTTTGTCGAGATCGAATGTAGGTGGCAGTCTCAGTAGCTTTTGAAGCTTCTAGAAGCGGGCTTAGTAGGAGCAAAACAGAACATGAAGGGATTCAGCAACCAACACACCTTGAGTTTGATGCCGACATCTCGGAATTCAAAGACGGTATTCCTTCCTATTGCCAAATCGAGATTATCCATATCGAGAGCGTCGGCGTCTAGCAGGTCCAGGCGCGACAGGGCATAGCGCAGCAGGCGTTTAGGCATGCCGGAGCCTCGAAACGACTGGAACAAGGTGGCCATGATGACGGGGTGACTGATGGCAACGGGCCACGAGATGCAGTTGTGTACAGTTGAGGGGCACAGTAGGCCGGCCGGCCGGCCGCGGACGTAATGCGAGTTTTTTAGGCTATTCAGCGATGAGAGAAGCACGGAGTCTTCGCAAGATCACCAGGCTCTGTATCAAACGCAAACGCAAACGCAAACCCGGGGAGGAGGCCATTCATGCTGCGGGACTGCTGGGCTGGAGGGGTCGGGGTTGCCAGACACGTCGATGCGATGGAAGGAAGTTCAAGGTCGGCGGTGTATAGCGTGCATTTTGGCTGGCCGAAGGATAAGGTTTTGTGTTGATAAAACGGTTGTTGGGGCGAAGACACGCGAGGCCTGGAACATGGAAGGGGCGAGACGAGTTGATGCCAGGCCAGACGCCTAGGCAGCTGCCGAGCCGGCATTGGTCGGTGGTGGTGACATCAATGCACCTGGGACTTGACGAGTACAACCAGTGGACATGGGCCAAACATGGACCAACTTGACACTTCAGGTGGCGTCTGGTCCGATCTGGCCCCGCTCCAGCCAGCACTGGCCCAGATGTCACTTCAACCAGACCAGTGTCGAGTTCGCTGGGGCGCTAGCGACTTGAACATTGGACCAGACTGTTGCCGCTCAGGTGCCAGCTCACATCGATGATAGGCCGCCCTTGCACCAGACTTGTCTCTGGTTCAAGCCCACATGTCCATGTGTTCAGAGTGGGGCCGGCCATGGAGGCGTGATCACCAAGACGCACGTTGTCAAATACTAAAACCATCAATCTCATATTCACATCACCACCTGACCAGCCCACCACTGCTCCTTATGCATCAGCTGCTGGCTTTGACTGCGCTCAGTGCTGGTGTCTGGCTCGATGTTCATATACTAGACCTGGATATGCAGATGCAGATGCAGATGCAGATGCCAGCCCCTTCTGCTAAGTGCATTCAATGTTCATTCAGTTCTCATTGCTACTTGCACTCCGCAACTCTTCGTGCCCTAATCATTACTTCTCTATGGTGCCAACCCGTCTTCCTGCTGCCTGCACCACGTTCAAGCACACCGGGCTCTAGTACTAAACATCGGCCTTTTATCTCTGTGCCCATTCGGCCTCAATGCGTGTGAGCCCGTCTCCCGTCTCCGCTAGGCCAACGAATGTCAATCCCCCGCGACATCATGTGGCTGCGCACAGAAACAGCCACAATGGAAACCAAGATAGGGGTAGGCCACTGTTGCATCTCGACGACTGACAGGAATACAACTTGGTCCTAGTTCCTCGCCTGCGACTATCTCACTTCTTTTTTTTTCTTATCTTCATCCATTTCCCCAAGAGCCACTCGAGCTACCTCCCTCTCCTCCCACCCCAAGCGTGCAAGCGTGACCCATAATCCCTCCATTCTGGATATGGATGCTTACTCGATATGCCGTACTAGCCCAGCCCTACGACATCCATCGAGAATACATGAAGATCTGAGAGCAGCTTTATTTGGCAGCTTCGTCGCCCAAAGTAGTTGTGTGGCATTCAATGATATGAACGACATGAGTCTTTCCGAGCCCCGCGCCTCCAAGGTATTATCGTGCCAAAACCAATCTGCGCATCCAACTCAATTACCCCCCTCTTGTTTGGCTTTGGCATTTGCAGTAAATTTGCACACAGCCTGGAACTCCATCATGGCTGTGCCATGAAGTAGTGCTCAATACTCATCAGTATGCTCAGTAGCTTACGCAAATTCTCTTCCTAGCGGCGCCAGTCATCCTCATCCAAACCCAGCATCGCAATCATTGGCGCCGGTCTGGCTGGCCTCCGCTGTGCCGACATCCTCGTACAAAATGGCATCAAGGTCACCATAATTGAAGCAAGAAATCGCATAGGCGGCCGAGTGCATCAGGAAAGGCTCCCCAACGGGCGGGCTGTTGATCTTGGCCCCAACTGGATCCATGGAACCGACGACAACCCCATTCTCGCCATTGCCAAACACACAAATACCGCCGCGGTAAGCTTGGACTCGAACGTGTGGGCGCATGATCATCTTGGCGACTTGATGCCACAGGAAGATGGCCAAAAATACAGCGCCATGGTGTGGGACCTCGTTCAACAAGCATTTGAGCATTCCAACACGTACGGCGCAGAGACTCACGCCGACAAGAGCTTGCTAGACTTTATCCGTGAAAGGATATCGGCCATGATTCCCGAAAGCGACGCAGAATATGCCAAGAAACGAGAAACCGTCCTTCGCCTGGCTGAGATGTGGGGGACCTTTGTTGGCAGTCCGGTTTCGCAACAAAGCCTCAAGTACTTTTGGATGGAGGAGTGCTTAGAAGGAGGTGATTCACCCGCGCGACCACCACCACCAAACCTGTACTGGACACTGACTGCGCATCAGAGAACTTGTTCTGCGCCGGCACGTACAAGAAAATCTTGGATCACATCGCGGCTCCCGCCATCGCCGGGGCGGATATCATGTTGAACGCCAAGGTGACGGAAATAACGCACCCGCCCCAGAACGGCAACAAGGTCAGGGTAGAAGTAGACGGTGGTCGTCATCTCCTCTTTGACGAAGTTGTTGTCACTGCACCGCTGGGGTGGCTAAAAAGACACCCAGACGCATTCAACCCCCGCCTCCCGGCGCGACTAACAAAGGCCATCAACTCAGTCGGGTATGGGTGCCTCGAAAAGGTATTCAAGGATGAAAAGTTGACTCATTCAACTGTCAGGCAGTCGTAGCTGACCACGGCCAGGTATATGTCACCTTCCCCACAGCATTCTGGCTCGTGGCCACCAAAATGAGCGGCTTCATAGAATGGATCACCCCGACCTACGCCCCTTCCAACCCGCGCCGCTGGCACCAGGATGCCTTTGAGCTCGGCAGCCTTCCCGCGCCAGACAACCACCCAACCCTGCTATTCTACACGTTTGGCGAGCAGTCGAGACACATGACGTCGACGCTCGCTCAACTGACGACCGAGGCCAAACGGACGGCCTTCCTGACGGACTTTTTCCAGCCGTATTACTCCTTGTTGCCAAACTATTCAGCCGAGTCACCGGATTGTAAACCACTAGGGTTCATTGCGACGGAGTGGTTGAATGACGAATTCGCAGGAAATGGGAGCTACAGCAATTTCCAGGTCGGCTTGGAGAATGGCGACAAGGACATAGAAATTATGAGGGAAGGCTTGCCAGATCAAGGGATTTGGTTTGCGGGCGAGCACACAGCGCCGTTTGTGGCATTGGGAACAGCAACGGGGGCGTATTGGAGCGGTGAAATGGTTGGCAATAGGATTATTGAGGCGTATGCTAGATTAAAGCAAAGTTAGAAACCGGACTACGTGAAATTCTTTTCTTGTTTGAGATCACAAAGCCTTCCGTCTATATTCTTCATATTTCAAAAGCTCGCTCTCGGGGTATCAACAATTGGCTAAAAAAAAAGAAAAACACCAACAACACAAGCGGCAATCCCGTACTCCCAACTTGCGATGCAGCTTCACCAAGAACTGCGGCACTCTTCCAGTCAGGCAGAATCGCGAGGTGCGATAAAATCACCAGCGTCTGCCTTCGCCCAACCGCCTAAGCCGCCGGCTGCGGATTGTTCCCAACAGTCTTGTACATGTCGCGCAGCTCGAACTCGTCCAGCCCGCCCTCGGGCACCTCGCCCACGACCCTCGCCGGCCTGCCCGCCACGACGGAGAAGCTGGGGATGACCATGAAGGACGGCACGACGCTGCCGTCCAGGATCTTGACGTAGTCCTTGACGATGGCGAACTCGTTGACGGTGCAGTCCCGGCCGATGGACACGTGGTTGCCAATGGTGGCGGCCTGGACGACGGTGTTCTGGCCGACAAAGACGTGGTCGCCCAGCCGGAGCGGCATGTAGGTGTAGACGCCCTTGTACAGGCGGCCGGGGGGGCGGAGGAGCACGCCGCGCGAGAGGAAGCAGTAGCGGCCGATGGCGACGGCGGTGGAGCTCGTGGGCGCCGAGGACGACGAGGGCGCGGTGCGCACCAGGTCGCCGCGGATCATGACCTCGGGCTGGATGACCGTCTTGCCGCCGAGCATGATGTTTTGCGTGCCCACGAGGATGGCCTTGCGGGCGACCTTGTTGCCCGTGTCCTGTGCGGAAGGGGAGTTAGCTGGGGTCGTGGGATGGAGAAAAGGGGGGGAGAGGTACGGTTTCAATGTAGTCGCCTTTTGCTGGGCGGCGCGACATGGTGGGCTGTGGCCGGACGTGACGGTGTTGACGTTGGGAGACTGCGTGCGGCTTGGTGTTGAAGGGGACGGTGGCGTTGGGCGGGGAGCTGCAGTGGATCCGAGTGGGCGGCGGCACGAGGTGCAAAACGAGCAGAAAAAGGGGAAATATAAAAGCAGTCCCAGTGCCCACCACTTTGTCCCTGCTCTTTGCTTCCCACGCAAGGCGCATTTCACCGGGCACATGAACTCGTCACTCCAGTTGGCGGATTCCAGAGACCCAACGGCTATACAGCAGTAAGCATGCCATGCCATGCCAAGCCCTGGCTTCACGCTGTCCTCGTTGCTGCGAGCGACAGGCAGCGAGAGGTGGTGCGTTTCGGAGCTAAACCGCGCCAGATTTATTACCGCGGCGAAGTCGTAGAGTAGCACTAGTCATAATATTTGTCACAGTCAAAGTCGCCGTCTTTGATCCGGCACTGTAAGCCGTAGCTGGACACATTGAAGAGAGCATTACCGGTGCAAAAGGATGGTAACAACTGTCGGGACTATGAAGACGACTGCCACGTTTTGCAGAAACAGCTGAACAGCACAGAGTTCATCCAGTCGCTTGAGGCGGAGATGAAGAAATCAAACATCTACTATATCAGAAAGCGATGTACAAGGTGATTCACCTGTTTTCGGGCTACTTCGACTCGATACTCGGACAAAAGGTTCTGCAATGTGAACCACGGCTGAAGAAAGGCTGTTGAGCCCGAAATACTGCGATAAAGGACTCATTCCGGTCTTTCTCCACTGCATCCGCGAAACATGGGCTGCAGAAACGGCGTAAGGGACCTGAGAAGAAAACTGTCAACCAATACTGGCGCGACTTCAGGATGCTATACCGCCGCAGTAATATCGGGAGGGTTGTTAATCTAAGTGATTGTGAAGACATTGGCAAGGTACCTGGGAGACACGGGGCAGCCACCCACCTTCCCTGTCGGGATGGGCTTCTACCATCCAAGTAGCGTTATTCGGCCGCTGGCAAGTGGCGTAGGTGGTTACTCTAGCGCCGCAAAAAGCATTTGTAGGGCGGGAGCCGGTATTTACATGAGCGTCAGATTGTACTTGCAGAGCCAAAGTGTGTGATAATACGGCTCAGTACATCCGATAAGGTCGGCACCTTTAATTAAAACCGGCATCTACAACTGTCTACGGATCCAGTCATCCTGAGCTAAGCTCTTGGCGGAGCTGCGCTTGTCAGGCTCCCATTGTAGCATCCTTCGTACAAGACGTAGAAAGTCCGCCTTGTCCTCGCCGCTGAGTGAAGTCTCCCTGTGCTCGAGCGTACTTCTCTCTGGTATCATGTCTTGGAAAGAAAATTTGCCTTTAGAGGAAAAGAATTTGTGGCTTAGTTGGCCTCGAGCGACAAAATGAGGCGCCGGTGGCCCGAGAAGACCTATCATCTCAGCAAGGTGAGCTCGGCTCCGGTATGTATGGAGCTCTGGGTCCTGGCCGGTGAACAGGGAGTCGCCTTCGAAAATGTCCCACATCTGTGAAATAAAAGTCAATTTTACAAGTAAAGCACCGGCTCTTCTCCGGATGCCCTGCTCACCATGCAGCCCACGTTCCATATGTCGATGCTTTCCGTCCAAGGTACTTCCAATATTACCTCTGGCGCACGATAGATGTTTGGTTGTACATCTTCCAAGTGTTCTATGCCGCCGATCACGGCGGAGCCAAAGTCGCAAAGCACAGGAGCACCCATTTGTTTGGGCATTGTGAGCTCCCGGGACACATAAATGCATCTTCCATCCAACTCTTTCCTGGGGCAAGGGGCTTGAAGTTCGCCTTGCTCGAAATCGACAAGAACCGACTCATCAGAAAACTCGAACATGATGTTGTCTGCCTTTATATCTGATGAAATGGTTACATTACTCATGCAACAAGGGAATAAAGATAGAGGGCATACCGGTATGTATAACCTGGCATTCTGTGTGCAGGTAGTCCAATGCCAAAAACAAGCGCTGAAGAATGAATGCGAGCATTATGTTGGGGAGCCTCTGAATTGGGTTGCGGTGAAGAAACGCCCACACGCTCTCGAATAAGGGGGCATGTACGAGGCACTGGTGCTTGTCCTCAGGTCCATCAATATTGAATGTGTCTAGTAATGACCTTACCGCAGACCGCCCTGGATGCGACGTGGCCGTATTGCTGATGCGTGTATATATCTTCAGCTCGTCATCTAGTGCTTTCCCCATTGAAGCAGATTTGATGAAGATTTTGAGAGTAACATAACGACGATGTCTATTTTCTGTTTAAGCGCGCATTCCAGAAGAGGACAGGTCGCGAAGGTCATGAGATACTCACTGCATGTCTCGCGCCAGCCAAACTGTAGAGGTTGCCCCATAGCCTAGCTTTCCTACCACTTGATAGCGATCTTGGAAGGTTTCCCCTATCCGGGTGGGATAATAGCGAGTAGCGACATAGCCCGGAATGGTTTCTTCTTCGATCTTTTGAGTCGCAGGTATCCGGGCAAAATTTGCGTTGGCGAAAACAAGAGGCTTCCAGGGCCTGCGGAGCCAATTTGCCGGCCGAAGTCCCGACAACATGCTTTACAATGCCTCCCCTCACGAAAGGAAGAAAAATGAAGGGTAGGGTCGACAGCGGATGGAAAATTCTGGACAGACACGGGGAGAAGAGGGACATGGAGGAATATAGGACAGCAGTTGGCGCTACAGTCAGTCAGGTGATCTGGGCACGGAACGGGAATGGGTAACCCAATACGCGAGTGCGCCGGGGGCAGAGGCAGCGTGAGGGTGATTTGCCCCGTCATGGTGTTATCGCAACAAGACGAAAATGAACAAGTTGCGCTGTAATGCCGGCCGCGAGAGAGGTGGGTAGATAAGAAAAGATGCGAGTTGAAGCAGGCAGATCTGAGGTGGGCAGAGGGAGGCGTTACGAAAAGCGGCGAGCCGCTAGCCATCTCGGATGGAAGGCTACAATACCAACATTATACCAAATAGGCTTGAATTACTTCAAATACAATATCTTATACTTTTTTTTTCTTCCCGCTGCTCATTATTTTGTACTATTATACTTATTTTATAGCTAGAAACCTCACACACAAATTGTAATGATTTGTCCAAATGGCACGAGGCTTAGACAAGCCCATTGTTATTTTGGGCACGCCAAGATAGTAGATTGTAAATTCACGACTTTTTGCATGCCAAGAATGGCTAGCGCTGATGCGCTCCTGACCAGGCTTACTTGGACCAGGAAGACTACTTTCGAGTGGCAATTAACCTATAGTCTGCGACACAACATTTGAAGCACACATTCATATGTTGTAATGTATTATAGTATAGAGCGCAGTAGCCTAGCACCCGATCTGCTGATATACCATTTGCCTCTCAGTCAGACGTCGGGCAATCGCTGTTCGACACTGCGAAGATAAGCCGCAGTCTCTGCATTGAAAATTCCATCCTTGACAAGTTGATCTGCCGACTCAACGATCCAGGTCTGGCAGTTTCGCTGTTTAACCATACTTCGCGGGGAAGGCTGGGGAACCATGCATCAGCTCTTGCGCATTCACATTGCTAATTCAGGCGCATCGTACTTACAGTGGTACTCATTGAGTTTAGTGTCTTCCCAGGTGCATGAACTTTGCTTGCTGACGCCTCGAACATGCATACCGGCACGGTATCGAGCTTGTGAGTGCCGTTATTAAGCATTGCCTTCTCATCGAAGTATCGACCATCAACCCACTGTAACGGAATCCTAGAGGAGGGGATATTTCCAGTATCCTTGAGGTCATGGTTTCGCTTAAGCTCGAGTGAAAATCCATTTCTTACATCTCCAGTGGCGTGCAATTGAACCCCAATGTCCGGATCATTCTGAGAACGGACCCAGTATGCCCAGTGGTCTTTAAAAGGTGCTCCGTTGTAGGTGATCAATTCCACTAAAAAGCCCCTGCAGAGCCAACCAGTGCCACACTTGGCCGTTTGATTGAAGGCACGGGAGCATTGGGAGTCGGTGTGCTTCCTAATGGGCCCGGAGGAGGAGGCGGCGGTGGTGGGGGAGGCGCGCTGCCAGCCTCAGCGTTTGAGCGGCCGACGGTCATGCTTGAAGGATGGGATGCAGTGTGTTTAAGCTGGGTAAAGATCTAACAGAGGGCAGTTGGCTTACATTAAACAAAGCTGCGCTGAATCAGATGGAAAGGTCAAGCGGCTTCGCCGCAAGTCTTGAAAAGTCCTGTTATTTTCTAGTCTGGTGGTCTTAATATTATTGGTCAAAAAGTCGAGGTCGGTACGTATCTTGGTGTGGATCATCATGATCCTGCCTTGCTACTTAAGTACGCGGCGCGTAATGAACATGCAGCCTTGTTGGCTACCATGTTGGCCGTAGGGCTGGTCATTTCAATGCTGACCTGCCTGTAGCGCCGGATATGGTATAGATAAAGGCCAAAGAAAATTGGCACAAATTCTTTATTATGGCATCACCGGTCCAAGGAACCAGTTGATTATTCCGCGAGGGAGAATATTCGATTCTCAAACAACCCTCTAGGACATTCCCATCGGGGATGATCAAGAGAGCCTGTAGCCGTGTTACTCGAGTGCCGGAATCATAATGCAATCAAGGGCTATGTGACATCCATTTGGAAGCCCATATACCCTTTGACAGTACAAAATACAACAAAGGATGGTCGTAGATCTCGTCATCTACCGGATCAAGAACGACGGGCAGATTTTTCACTCGCCACATTTCTTGAAGCCTTGCGAAATGAATCAGATGAATTTCTACCCTTTTTGCCTTGCAATACTCCCAATACGCCGGTTACCGTCCTGACTGTCCCCGGTCAATGACAGTCGCCGTGTGATTTGGTCCTGTGGACAGGAGAATGTTGGTTGCAAAAAAATCGCCATGGGTTTGTTTAGGAAGCGCGCTTTAAAGTGTGGGCTAGAAAATATTATAGCACCTCAACTATGCGGTGATATAACCCCAACCCTAACTAGTTCTTAGCGTTTCCGAGGCTTCCAGTTTGGGAGAGGCATTGACGGCCACCATATTACTCATTGAACTAATAACACGGTTTGCAGCCAGCAGTACGTTGTTCAGTAGACTCAGAAGCCACCGTTTCTTTTTTCTTGCGGCGAGGTGCCTTGGGGAGAAATGCCATGGTCTGCCCAGATACAACCCTAATGGAACGGAAAAAGGCTACGTTCGGCCAAGTCACACCCTGCCATTATTATGCACCTTAGCGAGGCTGTTGGAGCTTGGGGATCACGCAATGATTTATCTGACGCCGTTGTTGGAGTTCCGTTCGATTATACCGATTGAAGGCCAATATTGGAAACAAAAGGCCATCACAAATGACTTCCTTCTTCCCACAGCTGGAGGACATGACACCCGACGGGGCTGTCTATCCCAATGAAGCGGACTTTCAGCAGCTCAATTGGCAAAGTATATTTTACGGGTTGCCTTGGAACAGGCTAAGCCAGATCAACATCAATTATGACACTGATGATGTGACTTATGCTTGGTGACATTGGAAAGTGAGCGATGGATCCAAACGCCCAACTGCGCGTAGAAGCTGGCGTGACTCTAATAACCACACGTCTGCTTTTTGCTCGGAGCTACATAACGAGACTCTGTTGCCGAATGGGTTGAGAGCAGAAAGACTTGCCTCTAGCTCTCCGTCATATCTAGCCTACTTTTCTTTCGCCGCAATTAATATGACCTCCTTGGCGATTTAGTATAAAGCAATGATGTCGTCTGAATTGATCACCGTTTTGATTACCGGTGCAGTCAGAGGCGAGAAACCTGGTTACTTGGACCAGTCTATCATGTTGCTAATATGATATTGACAACAGTTGAAGCTAGTAAATTAGGCTACACCTATACAGTCCGTTGACTTGCAAGCAAAGCGCCCAAGGTGCTGCTAATAACACCTTGCCGTAAAGAAGAAACCAGCCCGAGCCCAAACCTGTTCAAGGACGTGCTTCATACTTATGATGAAAGAATCTGACGTCTTGTCCAGACTTGCCATAGATGCTCACAGGCTTCAACCACTCCCTGTGAAATCCTCAAGACAGTTGTCAGTTAGGCCAGTCTCCATGACAATCTCGCACCCCATAAAGACGTCATTGCTCGTCCACTCATATACAGTATGTTCTCGGCCACGGGCGGTTTAAAATCGGAGTAGCTCAGTTTCTGCAAAGGGTATTGATCTCATTCGTCGGGTCAACTTGGAGAAAACTTTCTGGATGTATTAGTGAAACGCGCTATATCACTAATGGCATTGTGACTGTAGGCTTTACGCCTCTCTTGCTCAGATGCGATCATATCTCAGGCATCACGCCAAGCAAAAGATGTGGCTGCTGCGCATTGTAACTCAATAGCTGCGTAGCTGAAACCATATCGGAGGATTGGAAGAGAGGATTGGAAGATGGTGCCTAGGAACGTTTCCGTGGTCCTGGGACGGAATGACGATATCCGCGACAATAGGTGAACAGTGACCAATTGCAAGCTGGACCGGGTGCTTCGTACTTGCATGGGACTAGGGAATAGCGGCGCGGATGTCGTGATGCGAAACAAATCTAGGCGTATTAATTCGATATCATGGCAGGAAACGGCCCGAGCACCCGATTATGTTGGAAGCTATCGACGATTGACGTCGGATTATTGAAAACTGAAGGAAGCTGTGGAAAAGGGGAAGGCGTCCTGTGGCTGAGACAGGTACAAGGTACAAAGCACCACGTAACTTACTGCTTGCCTCGTGCCACTCACTACTCGTGCGTATTGGATTCGCCAAGCTGACCCCCAGTTGACGTCTTGCTCAACATTGAACCAGACTTGTTTGTTCTGTACGCCCAACGGCCGATGCTAAAACAACAAACTGTTTCAGCACGCTCGCTCTCCCCTTTCCTGCCCTGATCTTGGGACAGGGCAGCAAGCCGCACGTGCCGTTTCCCGACCGACCAAGGATCATCATGGCACCGTCCGCCGTTTGAGGATTGCCAAGCGTAGATCACTTGGGGGCGGGGGAGGCTGGGGGAGACTAAAACAAGAGGACGAGAAACCGACAAGACCGAGAAAACATCTGGAAACATGTCCACTCCGCGAATATCTGCATCTCGCCACGGGTTTCTATTCTTGACGATGCATCGTCGGGTAGCATACGGCCCGCATCAGCTAGCCTCTTTGCCCCAGCAGAGTCCAAAATCCGCAAGCCTCCGCTAAACGAGCCATTGACAGTCTTCCTTGTAGCACCATTTCGTGCGTTGGGGCATCTGGAGTGGACGCCTATCTGGCCTGCGGTTGGTTCATATGATGGAGTGCTAAGCGCGGCTACCGGCAACCAGCATTCGCGCTCGACAAGGATCATGGAGTCGTGTCGACGTGGTGCGTCTCAGGTGTCATGCAGCTATGCAGCTGTCGAGACAGCGAACCTGCGTCTTTTTCAGGACAATGACCGAGCGCAGCTCAGCCGATCTGTGGCCACGGCATATCTGCATGTCTCCGATGCCCTTTGAAACTATCTCGGGCTGAACCTTGCTAGCCTGCCACTGGACGGCTAGGAGGCAGGCGATAGTTTGCAAGCTACACTAACGAGATGCGCCAAGGCTGTCTGGTTCATCATGACGTTGCAGTATTGCTTTGCGCGCATGCCGATTCATCAGGCTATGCTTTGGTTGGCGGCAATTTATACGACTAGACGCAAAGTTTGGACCTTGGCGGGCACGGGAGATCGGTACCAGTATACCTCAAGATGCCGAATCAAACGCCCGTTCAATCGACTTGGCGAAAGGCAGATGCAGCAAAGTAGACGTCGGGGCCTTGTCTTAACTGGCCATGCATACTACCACATGGCCAAGCACGCCACCACCAGCATCTCCCATGACCATGAGAGACCAAACGAAGCGCCCACCCATCCCAGTCATCATCCGAAGTCGTTGTTGCAAGAGACCTTGTATTGCATTACTCCCCAAGCTCCGTTGCAATTTCCCCGGACATGGTTGTATTCACTAAAGTCTTACACAGCTAAGCCATCATCTACTCGGGTATATAAGCCGCCGTCAATCACTCATCTTACTCAGAGTTACTTGGATTCCAAATCACCACGCCGCCCTTGTTCAATGCCGACTCTGGAATATATTGGCAAAACCTGAACTGCCCTGCCCTGCCCCCGCTGTCTTCTCCGGTCGAGTTGTGTCCGGCATCCGTATCCGTCTTCCGCCTCCAGCGAATTTACACTACTGCACGCTACCGTCATTGTAAGCGCCCAGGCGGGTACACCACCAATAGGCTGCAATTTGAAGGCCACTGGGTGGTTCTTTGATTCTATTCTTATACATTGTTTACCTTCCTGCCATAATCGGGCTAGTCTAGCCACGAAGCTGCCGTCCCCGAGCCGCCTTCACTCCTTCGACCAACAACTATATCAAGTCGGCGTGGTTCCTAACGTCTTTTCGAATTCACCATTACGGTAGAGGATCTGCACTTGTTCTGCGCCTTCTTGTCTCTTTCTTCTCCATCCTCTCGTTCTTTTTAGTTCATCATCACAGCCAGCATGTTCAAGGCATATCTAGTCCTGCTATCAGCCTCATTGGCACTGGCACTGCCTACTGGTTCGAGCTGTGCGAATGACCCCAAGGCTCCAGCTCTCCCCCAAACTGGTGGTCGTAAGTCGAATGAGAGCCTGCCACCGGCTGAAACCGCCGCTAATAGTCAATGAACAGCCAGCAACCTTCCACAGCCCCCCGAGGGGTCCAAGCTCCTCCACATCGCCCTGGGCTTTGGTATACAGAATTATACGTGCGCCAGCGTTGGCGCGAGCCCCGCGGCTACTGGCGCTCTCGCCATGCTCTACGATATAACCAGCTTATACCCCGGTCAAAGCAGTCAGTCTCTTTCGCGAGAGGATTGGGACGGCCTTACTTCCCGCGTTCTGCGGACACATGAGGTTCCCTTGAACTTCAACTCCTCTACGGAGGGACGAGTCGACCCTGAATCTCCTGGCGCCTCTCAAACCAATCCGTTCCCCGAAGATGCCCCCCTCGACCTCGACTGTTTGGAACTGGACTTTCTGGGACACCACCTTTTCAACAGCGCCGGCGTCCCCGAGTTCATATTGGACAGTGGCAAGATCAACGTGCTTGCTGGAAAGAACGCAGCGGTGGATGCTCCCGCCAATGCGGACAAGGGACCAGACGGCACCGGCGCCGTTGCATGGCTCCAACTCGGCGCAAAAGAGGGCACCGTGGGCGACGCAAAGTTGGTCTACCGGGTCGCAACAGCCGGAGGTAACAGCCACGGCTGTGAAAAGGCGGCCGGCCAAGACAGCAGCAAATACTGCGGACACATGAGGTTCCCTTGAACTTCAACTCCTCTACGGAGGGACGAGTCGACCCTGAATCTCCTGGCGCCTCTCAAACCAATCCGTTCCCCGAAGATGCCCCCCTCGACCTCGACTGTTTGGAACTGGACTTTCTGGGACACCACCTTTTCAACAGCGCCGGCGTCCCCGAGTTCATATTGGACAGTGGCAAGATCAACGTGCTTGCTGGAAAGAACGCAGCGGTGGATGCTCCCGCCAATGCGGACAAGGGACCAGACGGCACCGGCGCCGTTGCATGGCTCCAACTCGGCGCAAAAGAGGGCACCGTGGGCGACGCAAAGTTGGTCTCCGGGGTAAAAAAAGCCGGAGGTAACAGCCACGGCTGTGAAAAGGCTGCCGGCCAAGACAGCACCAAGTACACTGCCATGTACTGGTTCTATGCATAGACGTGGTTCACTTGGTTGGCGCGTGCGACATGATGTACATCCCTTCCTCTCGCAGCCTACTATACGCATTTTAATGACCTTTTTCAATTTCACTGTTATGACTTATTTTAACGGCGCACAGCACATTTGGGCATTTTCTGATCTTATCCTTTTCAAAATTCACACCATAGTTGCAACAGGATGCAACGACGACCGTACATAGACTCGGGATTACCTATATGCCGGGATGACTGAATAGCTGGTTCGGAGGCGTATATACTCAATAAAAGCGGTACCATACGCTATTTCTTTCCTCAGCGTTGCAACGTGATCGTAGGCCCTTGGGCTATGATAACCGCGGGAGTTTCCAGACTAGCCCATACGACGAGCATTTTTCTTTTCACCTAGACGGGAGTCCACTTTGGTAGGGTGCCGGCCCTTTGTCGGCTTGAAGTATGAACCGGTCCGTTTTATAAAATATAAAGAAACAAGCCAGGTGCTACGCAGTTCTTAGCTACCGGTATGTTCCCTACCTGTTGTGTACATACTGAGTGAGTATGCCTTGCTATTTGTGGCAGTGAGCCGCAGCACCATGGCAGATGGTCAAATACCTTCCGCCCTCTACTTCAATACCGCCGCGATGGCTAATTCTCTTTGTGAAACCCCTGTATTATCGGTCTTCTGCTCAGGCTCTGTGCCTGGCTTATGCGAAAATATACATACGATTTAGCCGCTCTCGCCGGATCCGCCTGTGCATTTGACATGTAAGAGCAGGGAGGCATAAAGTGTTTATTCTCTACGCCATAGGCCTACTTCATGGCAAGAAGCATACGAGCCCAGTCTGTCGGATACAATACTGACTGACGCAGCAGAAAATATGAGTGAAGTTGGTTAATAAATCCACGTGATTGTACGATGTGGTCTTCATGTCTGAACTACATGCTCCAAGTTTGATGCTACCCCTGGTCTCTATGTATACTTGAGAAGATTGGAATAAAAACACTTCTGCATATCTTCGGTGTACTTGGGCTTGAATAGCCGCGTCCCGCCCACTGGCAGTTAAGCCTCCAATGGACTCTCCACCAGGACTCTGGAAGTTCCCCGGCACAAATCCAGTCGAATTATTGGTATACTCCAGTGGAATCTCAGTGGTGACACATCTGTTGACGGGAAAAACTGTCCGGTGGCCCTGATCCTTGATAGCACAGTGCAACATTGATTGCAAGGTGACGTGACGTAGTATGGTGGAGTGGTGGCTACCAAGATTAGCAGCCCTAAGTGGACTACATGCCAAATTATTACATGTGCTACTCTGTTCAGGGTGGGTGGTAGAGAAGGTTCTAGGTTGGCTCTTGCTGCAGACTATTGTGAAGCTTGCTATGCGAGTTGTGCCTGTGACCGGCTTACTTTGACTGCTTCGTATCATGAAGGCTTTTGCTTTCCTGTGATATGTATTCCCAGAGCCATTGGGTATGTTCAATCCAAGCTTAGTATGAATCGGGTTGCATGTATTCAGGCAGACGCCGTTATTGACCCCCCACGCCGAGGCTCAAGGGTGATGGCTCGTGGATGGTCAGTGAAGGAACGAAATATCAGACAGGTCCCTCTCTGGACTCCCCCGTCGCATCCCTTCGACACTCTCTGGCAGCCAGGAAGCGTTCCCTGCTGCCTCCGTCAGCAACTGGTCCCAGAAGTGTTCCGCGGAATGGAGTTTGGAGCCCTTCCCTTCCCACGGGGCCCCAGTTCGAATTTTCACAGGAATCCGCTGGGCCAAGACCTTCTGCCGTCCGGCCTCTCTGCAAGGACAATTCCGTAGGCTTGCCAAGACCGGTGTCGCGTTGCCCTCCATTTATACACGACTAGTAAAGGTTGGCGTGGGCTACCCTGAGTCGTTGATGGCGCGGCTACAGTGTGAATGTGGGCATTCAAGATTAGACTGAAATGAGCATATCGCCATGGTCCTGGTCGGTTTTGTTTATCCTAGGTTTAACTTTTCACGTTGACCACCTTGAGCGTCTTTACCTGGTGGTATCAGAACCATTTAACCACTTCAAATCGTTTATGAAAGAACTAGGCACAAAATGTTTTTAGTTCCCTACGACATATCGCCGATATGAACGTTGATCAACTCGGCTTGGACCGCTGAAGCGCTGAACTGGACTGAAACCTCTATTTCGATGGCCTAAGAGCGCCCGACGGTGAAATGGTAATCATACTTCATACGTTGTGGAATCTGCTGCGAAAATGATTTAGGCCAATTGGGCTTGATATAAACTAGAACATTGAGAGCTCAAGTGATGATAGTGGTATTAAAGCCTGGGCTTGCAATCCACCCTAGCTATGTTTTCTACAAGCCACAAGATATCCTTAGTTTGATGGACTGACCAAATCTAAAGTCCTGTGAGCAACATGTCAAATTCTGCGGCCTACAATAACTGGTTGGGACGCCCACAGGATCCGTGCTACTGGATCTCGTGGAGAAGTATCCCCAATATTTTGCCATGTGGTGTTGCAATGTGGGTGCGTGGGGTGAGCTGGAATGACTCGAGTACAGTTTGAACTCTAGCACAGGGCATGGGGAGAGCGGTTTGTCATATTGTTTGGTCTACTTGCGCCCTTGAACTCCATGGAATATTACTAGCAATGGCAAGTTCAGTCGAGTAATTCCTATCCCCATCTAAACGAACAAGATGCTCTCCAGTATTGGATAAGTTGCTACCACTTAAACCCGCCGACACTATGACCACACACTTGCGGGCTATATACGGGGGCATTGGCAGGGAAAGAAAAAGGCGTGATACCGAAGGGTACCTCAATGTATTGTATTATGACGGTCTGCTACCATGATGAGGGGTAGTGGAGTTTTGGTACGTCTCGAGTAAACCATTTCGTTGACTTGGTCACCAGTACGCTTCCTCTTGCCATATTGACGTTTATTTCGGTCAATAGGCTTTACGAACCGTCCGCGGTATGGGACACTTCATGCTTGCCAGTGTGCATTACACCGAGTGGCCAGAGAATAGAGGGGATACGATTCGAGACTGCAGAATTGATATGCAGTGATTTGTGACCTGGTTGTTAAAGTTTGATTAGAGTTGTCGTTAAAGTGTTTCCCCGCCGTGTAGAGGCACAGACACAGGCACTTCTCCGGGACGGTCATACTGGTTGTCCATACGACTGTAATTATAATAATATTGTTTCTTTTTAAATCAAATCATTAAAAAAAGGGCTAGTTGAAGGGCATCTAGTAACACTGTATTTTGACCGTACCTAGGCCAGCGAACCGTAACTAACCACGCAGGACACCATGAACATAATATTGTATTGTATTAAAGATATTTGGATACTACCCTTCCCGCCCCCCTTGAACAAGCCCATTTAGCGCAGGCTGTACCAATAGACGATTACTTGGTGGAAGACATGGATTTTGCACCTTCGGCCAGGCCCGTACAGTTGGATGCAACATTTCACGGTAATATGGGTTGTTTACCATTGAGTCATGCATCCAAAAAGATCCCACAACAGTGGCCCTTGGTGGAATACCCCTGATACACAGGTGGTGGGTGTTCCCTTCTAGTCCTAACAGAATATAAGACTGGCCGGCGTCTGAGAGTCTGCCGGTCTTTCCACATTCCACGCTTCGTGAGCTTTTAGGTTCTCAATTTTTTTTTCTCGAACAAACCAACTTTATTTCATTAAAATCTACGGCAAAATATCTCTCGGCACTGCAGGCCCAGTATGAAGGCATATCAGTGGCTCGTAGTCTTGGCAATTCGTGCCTTTGCAGCCCCTTTGGTCACAAGTCCGCATTTTTCTGAACAAAGGGTTGTCCGGAGCTCTGACGATTTCCAAAATAGTTCTGCTCTTGCGGGCAAAACTTGTTTCCACGTTTCCCCGGATCACAGCGAGACACTGAACACGCGAGACTTGGTTCTACGGGGAGCCATTCTGAAGCGTCTAGCAACCCCAAAGCACGCGGCATCACGTCCGACAAAGCTTCCGGGTAAAGAGGAGCACTCAGTCATATCTGCAGAAGAGGCGTCCAGGATGAAGTTGCCCGGCGGTGGCAGGCCAGGTGTTTTCTACCGCGGCGACTCTCGCCCCCCGACCGAAGTTTTTGAGTCGGGGTTCGTGCCCAGAGGTCATGACCTGAGCCTGCGTCGTCACCTGAGCTTTGCGGGCGACTCGGGACTGGTATCCCTCACCCGATCGCGCAGATCGGCGGAAAGATACGCGTTTGGCCGGACGGGGGCAAAGACGGGCAGGGGCTATGTGTATGTCGTGTCTCCCACCGACGTGCCCGATGGATACTGGGTGCCTGGGATCTTCCCGCCGGACAAGAATCCTGCAGTTGGCTATAACCAGGAATTTGCTGCGACTGGTCCTGTTCCCGGCTCGAGTATATCCCACGCCTACGAGGTCTACGGGGACAATCCGTCAGACAGGTCTCGGAGGATTGACAACGAAAACTACGCCCTGATGGATTACCCCGGGTGCCTCACCATGAAGAGGAGCGTGGTCATCTGTGATCCGGCCAAACCCATGGATGACGAGTTGGTGATAATAAAATCCGCCTATCCGGGCAGGCTTGGGCGACTGCAACTGCCGGGTTCTACAAGTATAGGAGCACCTGGGGCCTCACTGAAAATGCCAGGTAACATCCCTGGACCCTATTGCACCTCGGATCGTCTCTGTTGCGTAATAAAAGCTAATATCCCGTGGTAGGCCGTCCAGCAGGCGGCAAGGTCCGCAGCAGCAGCGCAACCAGCCTTTCAAAGCCCACGACAAAGATTGCGACCAAACCCCGGCCAGCCGGTCAGTTGGGTTTCGTGGCAACCATCTCGTTGCTAGGACCTTTCGCGCATAATGCACTCAACGCACTGAAAAATTGGGATCACCCTATAGGCCGTGGCGTGGCATGGTTTGACGACGCAATCAACAGCCTCCAGGAGTCCATCGGAGGCAAGCAGGTGCCCGAGATTCACGGAAACGAGCTCAAGCTCAGAATGATCTGCTGGCTCAGAGGACAGCCAAGGTTTCCGAGTCCTGTGGACAGAGCCTGCCAACGGCTACGAGAGAAGGATGCCGGGCGGACGGAGCAGGACAAGGAGAGGGATTGGCAGACGGGACTGGCCCAGCTCCGGGAGGCTTGTGGAAAGGCTGCCATGACGCCGCCGGCCGACGACGGCTTGCGGGATGCCGTTTTCAAGCACTGCGAGGCCCTTGAAGACGGCATTCTGCGGCTGAACGAGGCAAGGACCCGGCTCATCGCCCACCGCGAGCAGTTTCGGGAAAAGGTGAATGCGGGCGGCCAGGTCGAGCCGGAGGATATCGACGAGGCGGCCGAATACATTTCCAACGGCGCCTTTCCGTCGTTCCCAAACGACGACGGGGACAAGGTCCGCGAGCTGGCCGCCTGGTACATGGGCGACGTGAAGCCGGAAAATAAGGACATGACGCCGGGACCAGAATCCAAACACGGCCAGTCTGCGCCTGTTGATCCACCGGCCTGGGTGGCCGCATCTCGAGTCATGGCAAAGGCTATCCCCTTGGATGGAGCAGTCGGCAGGGAGGCGTTCAACCTTGTAGATCGCGGGCCATATGCAGGTTTATTCAACGAGGCGGCCCCGAGCAGTAACGAGACTTGCTACTCGCCCGCTGGTCTTGTGAGTGCCCAGCCGGGCGAAATCTGGGACAGGATCTCTGCTGCGCTGGTCTACATTGAGCAGAACCTGGTGGGGGAAAAGAAGAAAATCTGCAAGGGGTGCTACGGGGGGAACGATCAATGGGACTTGGCATGTGGTTCGGCGACTGCTTGAATATCAGCCGAGTTACTCTGTACATTGGGTTTTGTTTTTCTCCCCGGAATAGACTGGGGCCATCTTCATTCTTGATAGAAACAGAATACAGAGAGTAAATAGGCCAGACCTGGGACGCTCCGACATCAATAAAAAAGAAAAAAAGGAAACCCGGCTCATAAATATTCAAGCCCCGCTAGGATCGGATGGTTTCTGCTTTTACTTCTCATTTGTCCAAAATCGGCTCATGTGTCTGATACCGCCGAAACAAGGCAACTTGCCCGCAGATACTCGGTCCAAAGCAACTACGCAATTCTTGTGTTCCCACAATCACAAAAGTTCCTTGAGTCAAATGTTGTCAATCACCATTTGGTATTAGGATAAGCTTGACATGCTGGCTTATACTATATGGATAGGACAGGGTATAGAGACTGGGGCAAGTTCAATGTGATGAAGCTCGTTGTCACACGGTTACACAAGGGCTACGATCACGGGACCTAGGGCACAAGACTCACCGATTTCTTGTATTTATAGAGCTCTTGGTCCATCCAGGCCTTGGGAGATCCAAGGACCTTCAATACCAAAGACCGCTATTAGCTGAATTGAGCTATTGCTCCAAGCCCTCGCCCTGCCTTTGTCACACTTGTGTAGACGTATTTACTTGGGTACGACCAGCCATACGGTGTTTGTGCAATTGAGCCCTACCCGATGCAGTGCTGGCACAAATATTGGGATAGGTCAAAGAAACAGAAACGAAAAAACATATAAGAAATAGATATATATTTACGCATATAATGTACGTATCCACGATTTCGGTACGTCTTGTACGCGATAACCTGGGGGTAAGCGTGGCCCGCCTCCTGTGAATAATTCGATTTGTATGAACTATAACGCAAGAGGCAGAGAGAGGGTGGAAAGACTCGCCATCTAGAGAGCACGAGCCGAGTCAAGGCGGCCATGGGGAGCTATAGGGAAAAAAGCCAACTGGTACATATGGTACATAGTAGGAGACAAATTCGGTACGTACACCTATGGGATCGCCATCGCTGTGTTCAAAGTGCCAAGTTTCTTCGACGGCGTTGCTTACTCTTGAAAGAGCACTCGTGAGAGGACTGACTGGAGCTGCGGACATGTCTTGGAGCATGAATAGATTCATTCTACCAAACTTGTACGTATTAAGCATCAAACAGCATCAATCGTCACATTTCCGCCTTCATGGAAACAGACGGCGGCATTCACGGTCTTCAATCTCATCATATACGTTGAGAAGAGCGCCACCCCACGGGCCCATGGGTGACATTGATGCTAAGCTGCAGCCCTTTAACGGGCGTCGTATTGTCTCGGCCACAAGTAACTACTATGTGCTTTTCTCCACCCTTTCCGTCCCCCCATCGGACGCCAGTGCCATTTACCTCCTAGACGCATCCAGACCCGCTTGGAGGTCCTGCTCGAGTCCGTTTCCGTGGGCGACATACTCCTGCGGCCTCGGGTCTTCTGCTGTCCATTGACCGCCCGCCTGGGGCATAGGAACCTGTGCTGGTGCTGATGGTTGGCCCTGGCCAGCCATGGAGTTTGAGCCGGGTACGGTTCTGACCAACTGTCGGAAGCGCATGACCTCATCGAGAATCACGCGGCGCATCTCCGCGACGTCGTCAATGACTTCAAAATCAAAGTTGAATGTGGTGGGGCAGTCAGGTTCGTCTGAGGCGTCATGCCAGATGTGAAGATATGGGTGCTCCAGCGCCTGCTCCACGCTGATGCGTGTAGACGGGTCAAAGGTGAGCATCTTGTCGAGGAGATCGAGGGCGTCAGGGTTGGCCTGTGGGAAGAGGCCGGGGAATGACTTTTTTGGCATAAAGGGGAGGTTTCGGACGTATTCCTGTGCGCGGGGCGAGCCGATGCGCGCGAGCGTCTCCTCATTGGGGGTCCCCAGGATGTGCAGAATCTGGTTCAGCTGGTCGACGTAGTCGCGGCCCTTGAAGAAGGGTCGACCACCGAGGAGTTCGGCCAGAATACAGCCAACAGACCAGACATCGACTGTCAAGAGTTAGCGGAACACGAACAAGCGGTGTCGGAAGGCGCAGCTAGTAACATACTGGCCTTGGTGTAGCTCTGAAAGCTCAACATGATCTCTGGTGCTCGATACCATCTAGTGGCGACGTATTCCGTCATGTATCCAGCATTCTCTTCTGGGTCTACCGAAAAGCCACGAGCAAGGCCAAAGTCACAAATCTTGAGCTCGCAGTCGGCGTTGACCAGCAAATTACCCGGCTTCAAGTCGCGGTGGAGCACGTTGGCTGAATGGATATACTTGAGGCCGCAAAGAATTTGGTAAATAAAAGATTGGAAATGGGCGTCGGTTAAGGGCTGGCCAGATCTGATGATGGCCGCCAGGTCACACTCCATCAATTCTGTACAGAGTCAGCACGGGGTCAGGCTGGAGTGTGGTGTGCAGCACTCTTCACCAACCTTCATAGAGGTACGTCTCGTTAAAGGTGTCGGGGCGAGGAATGTCCATGTCATACAGACATGTAATCTAGTGTTGGTAGCTTCATGTCAGCCCGTTGAGGCACCAGACGACTTGTCTGGGAGGCGGGTTGCCCTACATTGCGGTGGCCGCGGAAGTGCTGCAGCAGTTTAATCTCTCGCAGCGCCCGCTTGGCGAGAATCTTCTTGCTGAATACATTGGTCACTTTCTTAATGGCAACGCCCTCGCTCGTCTGGTTGTTCACGGCGGCACTGAGTAGAAAGGGGATGCCCGGGTTAGCATGACTGTAGCAGCATCTCAATCCCGCGTCACGGCAGCTTACCAGACAATGCCATAGGCACCTTGTCCCAGCTCCTTGGTCACAGTATATCTCTCGTCGACAATGAAGTCTTGGTTGAAGACCTTGAAGACCTTGCGTCCCTGAAGATCGGCCATGATGGCTTCCTAGACGCGCACGGCTGCGCGTTGTATCGCCGTTGTCGAAGCGGGGGGGAGGGGAAGAGATGAGGGAGGAGGGGTCGCAGAGAGGGGGGACGGTGACGAGCCTTGTCTTGCTTTTGCGTCTCTTGAAACCGCGCAAAGCCCAAGGTAGACGAATAGGCCGACAGGAGAAAGCTGCAATGGCGACGGCCTGCAAAGACAGCTCACAGAAAAATAAAAAATAATTGCAAGCTTGGGCGGGGACAGGCTTTGTATATGTATGACAGATGGAGGTTCGTATGGTTCAGACGTTGCAGGACAGCACTTGAGCCTTTCCTGGCCAAGTGGAACTCTGGAGCGCCTGCGCTGAGATTGACGGGTTGACAAGTGGGATCGGATTGATGCGCCGTCTTGCCGCAGGACCAGTTGACTGGCTCCCCTGCTGAAGGCTTGATCGTCCGGTCTGGTCCTTCAAATCTGGCGCCCGCATAGAACCGTCTATCCGTCACATCACATCAACAAGCAAGAAAGCGCTGCGGAATCGCGACTGCAAGGATGAGCGTTTGCACCACTCCCGCCCGCCTCACCACCACGGCCCTCCTGCATTCGCATTCCCAGGCTGCCAGGTTCTAAGCGCGCGCGTCGCTGAGCTGCCCCGTGGCCAGTTCAAAGCTTCACGCCCTCTGCCAATAAGCTCGCCAGACGGCCGAAAGTGCATAGCTTGTGCGTTGCACGTCAACTGATGTTGCTCGACGCTTGTCACCGGTGGGATATTTGCAAGCCAAAAGCCATGGCCAACCTTGATATCACCAATGGCGCCACCCATGCGATGCCACAAAACCCGCTTGGAAGGGTCCCGTTCCGATCCAGCCCTACCAGACGAAAGCATCGCGAAGCCGTAATCTTTCTAGGCTGACGCCAACAAAAAGTGCCCTCGACCATACCAGTCCCGAGGCCAGCTGAACTTGTGTTTGGCTCCATATCCCATTTTGTTGGCTGCACGCACGCACTCAATCAATACGTCCGACTGTGGCTACACTTCAGGGACCAATGACAACCATCAAATCATGTCCGTCATTATTACACCGTAAGCATTCCCCAAGACTGGCTCAGCATTATTTCCTATTCTCCCCCCTGTGCGACTCTCCGCCATCATCTGTCATTATTCTACAGAGTACCATCATGTCTCTCGCTGCTCTATCAAGCACCAATCTTGTCTACTCGGTGTGCAGGTCAGGCCACCAGCTCGTCCAACCCCAGGGTATCACAGCGTAAATACTCCTCTCCCAACCACTCCCCTACTCGCCAATAACATCCTTGATAAAGTTCTTGGAGAACCTGCTGCACTGCTCAAAGGCCTTTTCGAACCCGTCCCGTCCGCCGTAGTAAGGGTCGCTGACCACCTCGGCCTTACCCGTGCCGCTGAACTCCCCAAAGAGCATCACCTTGGCCTTTGTGTCCGGGTTGCCCTTGTGCAGGCGCTGGAGATCAGACAAGTTGGATCGGTCCATGGCAAAGATGTAGTCAAACACTTCGAAATCCGTCGTTTTAAACTGTAGATGCGTCACGGATCAGTCACGGAGCCCACCGCATCAGACGTCGGGATCCCCAAACGGCCCAACTTACCCGGCGAGCGGCGTGCTCGTAGTCGGTAATCCCATTAGCCTCCAGCGTCGACATGGTTCGCGAGTCCGGGTCTTCGCCCGCGTGGTAAGCAGCTTCAACGGCTCGTGTCAGCACAGGACTCGCAACCCCATCGTCACCCGCATCGGCTCGCGCTCGGGCACCTACCTGTGCCGCAAGAGTCGATGCGCCCAATCTTGCCTTGGTACTGCGGCTGCTTTGCTAGGCTTTGGAAAATGCCCTCAGCCATGGTGGACCGGCAGATGTTGCCCAGGCAGACGAACAGCACCGACACAGGCTCAGGCATTTTGGCCGCCGCTGCTTTTTGCAAGTCTTGGCAGGAAGTAAGAAATGGAGAGATATAGAAGCTTGCGTGGTACCCCGCCAAGGGAAAAAATAAACCACCTTGGAGGGCAGAAGACTGATCGATAATTGCTTACGTTGGGAGATCTAGCCGGCCCGACCCCACGTGTGCCTGCCATTATGCTCGATTTTACAGGCACACCCACCCCCAGCCTGGCGGGAATGAGATGGATTTGGCTCGTCATGTGCTTCTTTTTGTCCCTTAGTTCTTCCTTGTTTTATTCTTTTATTCCTTTCCGTTCTTTCCACATTCAATTAGGAATTCTTTCTTACTTTTTCTCTCTCTCCTTTTTTTTTTGGAAGGGTGGCGAGGGGTAAAGGGAAGCTCAAGCACAGAGATTGCATGCAGCAAGTCCGGTCTACAATTTGACTGGAGGAATCCCAGCGACATCACTTATGATAGACAAAATAGTATAAAATGTATGATTTTAATAATTTTTCCTTCAAAGTTCTGTGCAGTCCGTTATTCCACTGCCTTACAACACCCACTACAGAGCTTGTCTGCGTTTTCCAACTACTCGCCACGTAGCTTTGTCCCCCGTACCCGAACCCAAGAAAAGACACTAAGCGCCTGGCTAAAGGGAGATGAGATTTTATACAATAAGGATACAGAATCCGTAGTCGTCAAAAGGTTGTCATGGCTAGTCGTGGTTTGATCGCTTCCCACAATCCAGCAATTCATATACAGTGTTACAATTGGGGTTGATCAAGCGCCCAATGATTGTCGTTGGCGCTCTCGTCGGAGGCTTTCCAGCACCCCGATGACACCGTTGTTGCGAATTCGTTCAAGGACAAGTCGCATGCCGTCACGGCTCTTGCCAAGCTGGTCGAGAGTCTTGGTGGAAGCAAGGCTCTCAATACTGCGTTGGACGCCTTTCGTACCCCAGCCGCCGATGAAGCCAGAAAGCAGACCGCCTTCCTGCTGAGCTTGACCAAACTTTCCCCGGAGTTTTTCGCCCAGTCTCGACCGGAAGATGACCGACGTTGTCACATCAGTTTCGCTTGACACTTTCTCAGCCGGCAATTTGAAGTTTTGCTGCTCAATAACAGAGAGGACACCAGTAAAGTTGAGGTTGCGGCTCTCGGTCTGCATCCATCCTTCCTTTATGTCGACAACGCTCGTCTCAAGAATATACGATGCCTTGTCGCCGCTGCCGCCGCCCGTGACGCTAGCCGGCAGCAGCTTGTAGACTGCGCCGGGCATACGGCTCTTTTTCAAATGGATTCTGGTAGTGTGGAGCCGTTGGGTCTCAGGGTCGACGTAGCTGGAGATGGTATCGGTGCTCAACACATGGGCGGCAAAGGGATTGAGCTTAGGAGAAGAGTAGCGGAGGAAGTACGCAAGGGTGACGGTCGGGAATGGATGAAAGTAGGTGTGCGCGGTCGTGTGTGTGAGGACCATTTTCACCGGCGTGGCAGGTCTTTGGTGAGGGCGAGAAAAGAGAAGTCGCAGGTGCAGTAACGCTATCTTGATGGATCTCGCCGGTCGCTGATTGATATGTGCGGCCCTCGAGCTCACTCGGAGACTTCGGAGCTGATCATGAGATTCAGCCAAGTTCGGTGCCTCGCTGCAGCACCGTCGCAAGGCTGATGAAATGCGCTGCGTGTGGGAAAAGGAATCCCAATCGAACAGACTGGCTGCTAAGATGGCAGACAAAAATGCACGAAGACGCCAGTGGATGGCAAGGGATGAAGAGGGGGAGAAATAAGAGCGAGGCGGCGAGACTGCACGGAGGCGATTCTGCTCACAGACGCAGAGCAATCGAATGATGGAGATGCCAATGGCACGAGACGAACTTTTCCCCCTGCACCATCATTGGGCAATGGAAGGCCCCTGATTGGCTGCCAGAGCGGGGAAGGGCTGGGAGAGCTAGGCAGAACACAGTTTTGAAGTGACCAACACGTGATTTCCTGCCGTGGTGAGTCGATCCAGATGTCTTCGCCCACCACACCTGCATATATACAGTGTGAACTGGGACGTCCGTATGTTTTCGGAGTACTCCGTAGCTTGTGGGGAATATTTAACTAGTAGATACCTAGGTAAGTACCTAGACCTTGGTAAATCAGCCCGTTCATTTACTGTGTACATGGCTGTCAACCTGCGGAGTTCTCGTTTCTTGTTAGCGCCGCCCGCAGCCGAGACTCCGACCATCGACACGACGAAACATCGGGCAAAACACCAAAGCCAATTGGGCGTCACCATGTTGTGACATCGATGATGCGTTCTTGCACGCCACCATCCATTCGTGCCCAATCTCGACACAGGGTAATCCATTTCTATGTGGCTATTGCTACAGTCTATTCCGACAACTCTTCGTCACTCCTTCAACCTATCAAATAGCACCACTGCCTCAGCAACTTCTGCTCCGCGATTGGTAAACTCAATTTCTAACCCGGCAGTCTGTCCATCAACGCCGATCTTGAATTGACTCCTGAAAGCAGTATTCCGGAAGATAGTATACATCTCCGTTCGGATCATCCAGTTATCGCCCGTTACATGGTGAAATGTAAACTTGTGATCCCATGAAGCTTCCTCTCTATCCGATCTCAACACCTTTTCCTTTGGGTTCTGAGGGTCTGTCTCTTCCTGAAGCCTAATTAGCCCAAATCCAGGGTGGAAATATGTGCCGGCGAGTTGGCTTGTGTTCAGAGTTGGAGGTAGTGGTGTCTTTGGCCGATTCGGATAGAGGTTGTCGAGAGCGTGCTCTAGCCACTCTATCTCTTCTTCTAGTTGGTCTCTCTCACTAACAGCAAGTCATTAGTCCTGATTTACACACATGCATGGCGTTTCATCCTGCAAAGGATTACTTACCTTCCCGCGTAGTCGAAGCGCTTCTCCTCTGGGATGCCTAGCCTATCCGCAATCAATCTTGTCGCGAGAACAATTTCGGCGACATTTGATGTGACCGCCGTGTTAGCAAATGAAACAACGCCATACTTGATTTCCGGCAGCCAGTAAACGTAGGCGCCATACGCGTGCATACCACCGCTATGTTGGTACACGACGTGCCCGTACATCAAGGTGCGCTCCCATCCCAACCCGTACAGAACCGAGTCAAACCCGTTACCCGGCAGCGGGCTCGTGATGAACCTGGGCGTCTTGACATCCTTATGAACTGCCTTTGACAATGGAGCGGACTCATACAGCAGGCACTTTACCCATTTGGCGTAATCGAGCACGTTGGAAAAGATGGCACCAGCACCGCCTACCTCTGTGACGACCATGTATGGCATCTCCGTATAGTTGCCGTGACTGGGATCCCACCTATACCCCGAGGCCAAATGCTCCGGTGCTTTGATGGCATCGTCCAGGTCGAAATATGTTGACCTCATCCCTAGTGGTTCCCAGATCAAGTTTCCGAGGACCCTGGCGAGAGGACTCCCCGTCAGTCTTTCCAGGACATACCCCAACGTCACATACATGGCATTTGAGTACGCATACGTCATACGCGGCTCCGCAAAAAGAGGCAGATGGCGCAAACGACGAACAACGTCTCTTGGGGTAACTTGGACGCCGTTCTCTACCCTCAAACTCGAAAAGTGAAGACTTCCGAGACCGGTTCGGTGGCTAACGGCGTCTTCAAGAGTAACATGCGCCGTTGCCCACTCATCCTGCAGCACAAAGTCATCCCTGATGATGGATGAGACCGGCGTCGACCATCCACGAGTCAATTGCGAGTAGTTTCTTGAGTCAATCACTGCTGCCATTGCGGCAGCCACGTAAGATTTCGTGGTGGAAGCACCGTACCATATTGTTTCTGGGGTAGCCGGGGTGTCTGGAAAAGTCGCAATCCCATAGCCCTGGTGCTGCATCAGCAAGGGGTTCCAGCGTGTCATGGCGAAGTATATACCTCTGCAAAAACTTGGTCATGGTCAATCACGGCAATAGACAGCCCGGGGACATGCCATTCATTCAGCGTCTCTTTGGCAAATGCCCCAAAGTTCTCATCGAATGGGTTTCGAATAGATGAATGTCCGTCAGACACGGGTTTTTGTTGAGCCAAGTGGGTTCCAGCGATGCCTAGTTGGACCAGTGTCAGGCTGCACACGAAGTGATACAGACGATTCAGACGATGCCGCCTTGGCGCAACCATGGTCAGAGAAACTTGATCACGAGTCGTAACGCGACGGCGCTGCGCGGGGTTGCAAGTCGAATCAGCCACGCAAGGAAGCCAACTATTTAAGTAGCTTACACATCGTGAAGTGTCCTGTGCTTTGGCATCCCGTATCCAATGAGACGGGCTTGCGAGCAGACTAGACCTGTGCCACACCGAGCATCAATGCGTATCACGAGGTCTCTTATTGGAGTAAAATTGGAAACTTGGGGGGGTGGACCCTATACAACTACCTGATCAGGCAACATTGTCCCTACCTCTTGACAATTCTTTGTTGATGAAATGTATCGGATACGGCACTTCGAATAGTAGTCCACAAAATCGACATAAAAGTTACGTTTTCTGGCTCTCGGACAGAACTACAGTTCCGCATGAAGATAGTGCTGCTAGCGAACTGCCGTATTCGGTAATTGTAACTAACAGCGCATATCTCTGTCCCTGTCAGAGACCAATCGTGAGAAACCAACGTACAGACCTACAACGCATCCGGGACCTCCTGGGAGATTTATATGAGGCATTTATAGCGTTTAGCTACGACCTAGCTATGAGGGAGGCATTGGACACAAAAGGGGTACCCAAGCCGCGTATTACGGAGACAATTCAGAGACTAATACAGCTACTTAGACGATCCTACCTAGTAGCTATTCTGTAGCGAGCCGTCCTGTGTCATCTCATTAGTCACTCCTCCATGTCAAATCAGTCCTGACATTTCTCTTCGCACGCTTAATCAGCTACTTCTTACGTTGTTTATTCCCAAATGAGTTGGAGCCATTTATGATGCAGCGGTGTTGTCTGAAACATTACTTGGTCGCACAATATACTAAAAAAAACAGGACTGGGACCTACCGGGGACATTCTTTCAAGCCATGCAGGATCTAGGCTCCATTGGAATTCTGTCATCAGAACGAAAAGAATTACCTTCATCTGGGTCAAGGGATACTTCTCACCAAGGCAAGTTCGTTCACCATCGTGGAAAAAAACGGGACTTGGCACGGCTGCGCCGAAGGCGATACGACCTTTGGCCTTCTTCGTTAGCCGTGCCCCATCTAAGGACGGAACTGTTTAGAGTCAGCGCCCCGAGTCTCTGGGTCTCGGTTCGTTGAGTAGCAATAATAGCCAGCATATGTGCCTTGGGGTATAATTTTCTCATTGTCAAGAGCAATGGACCTTTTCGCTCGGTGATTAATTAGCTGACAGATGGGTGGTAGCAGTCGGGGACCCTCGTACAGGACTACCGTAACAAGGCACCGTTTGCAGGGCATCCCAAGAGCGGGGATTTTCTCATGAAGATTCTCCTTCGCGGCCTAGGTGCGATGGGAGATAACCCTTGGTAGCATGTCACGGGTGTCGCAATTACACACTGGCCGGACTCTTCGCCAACAGGTACATGGTAAATAGTAGGGTAAAATGGTGTTTTCGTGGCTTGCCGCAGACGTGGTTGTTAAGTTGTCCCCAAGTTGTTTTTCTGCAAAAACGCTTAGTCTCCTCACAGGAACTTGACGGTCAAGCAGTCAATGAGGCCCGTCGATATCTTTAAGGGGCATATTCGTCGTAAGCTCTACCAGCTCATCTCTATAGTCGACTGTTAAATGTGTTGTCCTCTTGCACTGCTCGCAATGAGAAAGTGAAAGACGATGACATTAGTAGCCTACCATTGAGCTATCTTCTGTCGCTTCAAATGGGCTATCCTCAGATTTCATCACCTGCAACTTCAACGTCAATATATCTCAGGTGGGAAAGGATACCGAAGTGCCTGGAGCACCCACCTTGAGGTCCATTCTTATTAATACCTGTCCATAGTTTCGGATACGATGTTCTAGGAAAAGGCCTTGGATGATGCTGCTCTCACTGGTGGCACGAGGCTGGCCTTGAATCACAAATTTCACAAGGTGCCGTGTGTTCATAATCAGGACGTTGGCAACTGTAGACCCGGTTTGATGACTCCATGATAGAGTGTTCAGCGCGTTGTGGGGTTCGAGATAATTCAGTCGCCAAAAAGCCCTACACAGAGTAAGGTATGTTCTCAAATTTCCGCTCTTTTGATATACATCCTCCCTCTTTTACAGTTCTGTACTCTACTTGGGATTCTGTAGCCTAGCACAGCCCACTTGCCCCCGTACCATATTTCCACATCGATGTGTGCAAACCACGGCTTTTGAAGGTATTTTCTAAAGACTTTACTTTGTTCAACTGTTCTGACGATGGGTAAGAAAGTCACCCAGAATGGAATGACGGCCACTCTTATGGGGTGTTTTGGAGGCGAGAAAAGGGAATAATAGCTTAGTAGCACTCGTATGAGTGATGAGTAGGCATTGAGATGAAGAAGATAGAATAATAGCTGTCATAACGTCGGCTAGCTTTTGTACTGCCAATTGTGTCGCGATTTCTTGATGCATGTCTGTCAAGTGTAAGAGGGGAGGGAGTGCCCGACCGACCCCTATTTGCTCCCAAAGGTCCGGAACAAGTCACACAATCAGAGAAGATTGCAGGGCCGGCCGCAAGCTGAATACAATTCTTGGTACCTGTTAAGTGTTCTTGCATGTTTAAGCGGTAGCATATAACAGGATAGACCTATGCCCGAGGGCTATTCATTGTACATGTCACTACGGAGGGGACAAGATAGCTTGCGTAGTGGGACTCTGTTGTTGCAAAAGACACGCAGAAGTAGTACTCTCGTCTGAAAACATATACATATACTTGGCCGGTTATCTCCGGCTGGGATAACTTACTTCGGACTGCGTTGACAAGTCTGGGGGACTCGACACGGAGACAATACAAAACAAATTGACGCAATATCCATGTTCTGTCTCGAATATTGGTCATTTAGGTGAAAGCTATCTTACAATTTGATCATAGCTCCAACTGAACATGATCTGTGGGTAGATGCTTGGTAACGTGATATACAAGTACTAACCTAGTATATACAAATTCGTAGCTGCGGGACTTGCAATACAAAATCTGAAGAAAAGAATACAGGAAGGTTAGAAAAATTTGTCACTTCTCTCGAGCTACGCCTAGTACTATTGCCCAGGTTGTAAGAGGCAGACCCCAAAGCTATGTCTTCACCACTCGACAAGAGCTCTCCAGTGATGCCGGCATTTCATATATGCGGGGGCAACGATATCAACGCGCAGGATGAGAAATTGGATGCAATAACAGCGAATGAACAAATACACACAATCCCGTGCGACAGATTAATCCTCGCGACTGGAAGTCGATCACATGCCTCCATGTGCCGGGCCTTGAAGAACACGGTTTAAGCGTAGGCCAGCTTGACGATGTTGTTCTTGGAGTTGCGACAGAATTACCTCATAGGCTTCGTACAATTCTCGGCCAAGATGCAAACCTCGGGACACCTGAAGACTCTGAAGAAATTGACCGTCCAAATCAAGCTGGTAGATTCTATGTGCAAGTCGACGCCAACAGTATCGATATCCGTGTGTTTAATCTGAGCCCTTTATCGTGGCAGCAGGAGGCTCTTGCTCTTGAGCGCTATTCAGGCTAGGATGCTGCTGCTGAACTCCGGGACCTGCCTCTGAGACAGTACAGTCAGGAGATGTATGGTGTTTGTCCATCATTGGGTACTTTTGGCGCAGTTTTCACTAATGGTTGGGGAAGGGAAGTTGCTGCGGCAGGCAGAGTGGGTGGCATGTTGAAGCAGTTCATTAATGCAGGGTTGATACGTCCTCTGAGCTGCAGGGGTTTACAAGGTTTTTTATCCGTGTTTACAGCTTCTCCCAGCCGATGACGGCATTGGTGATTTCCTGGGGAATCGGAATAAGGGCGCCGTTCCTCACTATATCCGAAGATTTGTTCACTGGAAACTGTTGGGAGACTTCACATAGAGGCAGGGAACTCCTTGAATTCTAGAATTCCTCGAAAAGCATAGTTCCAGATATTATTATTACTGGCGATGGAGTGAGCTTGAGTACACGTACCACTTTTACCTGAGCATGATCTCAACAACTATTAAAAGCAGCGCTGCATCATAGCTGTAGTCTAAGATTCTGAAGAGCGACTATATGCAGCTAGCTTAAATGCGCAAGACGGTCCCAATGGCATAGCTAGATAGTCTCAAGCGAGGCCCAAGTCCGCTACTTCATTTGGTCCATAACTGCGAGATATAATAACCACAGCCTTGTTAGATAGAGTCCAGAACCAACGAACTAATTGTGAATGGCGAGGTGTAAGTAGCTTTCCCGTCATATGAACCCGGCTGACTTGAATGTGGGCAATCCAATACTGACGCGTCCTACGTTACCAGTACCTTGGTTGTCGACAATGAGGCCTGGTTTTTTAGGAAGCAGAGTACTCTCCGGCCTAAATTCGATCTGCAAATTTACACAAATCCGTCCAAGTGGTGGATCCAAGACCTGACAGCATAGACCTCTAATGCAACATGAATACAGTTGGAGACAAAAAGTCGCTGAAACAGCATGCTAGCCCCTGGCCAACCCCTGCCCTCTCATATAGCAATTCAAAGCCACCCTAATCCACAGACTCATATCGTAATACGACGAAACCAAAGTCCGAGTCCATCTACACAGTAGTCGTCCCAGCGACCATACCAATTAGATGGAGTACCTGTAACCATTAGTGTAGACTTCATTTCCCGCCCGCTGCTAACTACGGGTAAGTGCGCAGGACACTGCCATCAAGGTGACGAAGTGGCGGAAATTTAATAATTCGCAAGGTAATCAGGTTCAAACTAAATCTGCATACACTCACGTAACTGGCGGGCCGAGGGGTGTAGTCTCGGCTCTGCTCGTGATATGACTCGACATGACAAGCCATCCAGAGAATCCCGACCCGGCGCCAAGGACCAAATTCCCCGGACTACGACAGACCGACAGCATGTCAAAAAAGCTTTGGGGGGGGAAAGAGGGCACGTGTCATATGATTCGTATGCCTGAATAGTGAACTTTGGATGAAGCCCCCTGGCAGATCCCAGTAAAGGGGACACCACCGTAAATAATGGGCGTGTCATCAACATCCGGAAAACAGTTTCATGTTTCGGCTAATTTTTTTACCTGTCCACACACGTGTCTGAACAAACTGGCAGATCTGCCATCTCCAGAATCAAGATTCTTGGCACTAACAATTCGCCGTTGTAACGCTGCGTAGCCGGCCCTCTAGGTGTGCTGAACAGGAACAAGCATTTTGTCCCCAACGATCTCGGCTCGTAGAAACCACAAGGTGGAAATAGCAAAAAAAAAAAAAAAAAAAAAAAAAAAAAAAAAAAAAAAAAAAAAAAAAAAAAAAAAAAAAAAAAAAAAAAAAAAAAAAAAAAAAAAAAAAACAAAAAAAAAACCGGTCATTTTCAACGACTCCGCTCTAGAGTAGAATTGCATTCGCGGCGCTACCTATACCCCTATTCGCGAAAAGAACAAAGCTCGAGCAATTTCATGGGCTGTGCAGATCACCACGTGTGTGCTGTGTATTCGGTACGGGCGGCGCCTGCTTCGGGCGCCGAGGCATCAGTCCGCAGACAAGGTATCAATATCATCTTGATGGCTTGTCACAGTTTCAGCTGTGTTTGGCCGGAAATGGATAAGAGCACAAGCAAAGCGTAAACAAGTTTACATGGGCGAGTTCTGTTACATTGCACATTATTTTCAAATCTATTAGTAAGCAATAATGAAAGATGGTAGAACGACGAGTTGTGTCATGTGCTCCCTTTCCCGGCTCGGACCAATGCCAGGTATCAGGGTTCGTTACAACCACTGATCCCCATTTGCATCGGACCCGGAAACCTGGCTTTGTCTCCGGCTGAGAATTATGAGGACACATGGGAAATTTCAAGGGGTTGCAATGGTAAAAATGGCACGTACGGAATACAGACGAAAAAGCCCGAGGTATGCAAGCCTCTACCATTATCCTGGCGACCACATGTCTGCCGATGAATCTTGACTGGGTAGGGAATTGTTATTAAGACGCTTACAAGGACACAGACACTGAGATACTTCTTCCTCGGGACTCGACGGTGACTGCTACTTATAGTATATTGACAGGCTACATCGGGCATGATAGTACCAAACAGGGTTCGCTATCGGGATTTTCTCTCCCCCTACATGCTCTTGCTACATGCTCTTGTGCTCAAATTCTGCAAATGCACATTGTGGCCAACCGTGTTGATCCTACTCTGCAGACGGGGTACGCTAGCCAATCGCGACTAAAACTTGGTTAGCACCGCCTGAAGGTTGCCAGGGTCTTCCTGGTTACAATGGAGCCCAACACGCCATCGTCACCGTTACGGAGATGTCCGCTTCGCCCCGAGACGTTGCGGACAGCACTTCGTCTGGGGAAACCCGCCCCATTTCCTTCACATTTGGCAGCGACACTAGCGCAGCGACTCCAACTGGACCTGTTTGATACAACGGAACGCGATGGTACGAGCCGCTTGATCTTGCCGTGTAATTACTAGGCCCCGCTTGCCGTGACGGTAATATATGTCCGGCATCACGTATATGTCCTTCGGACCCAGTGTTTGCCACCAGCCAGCCGTGTTCGTTAGCACGTCGCAGGATCACGTCTTCACCATGGCTTTGTTCTTGCCCCCTCGTCTCCTCCACTCTCACGGCGGTTGGATTTTGGAATTACCCGGATGCAATTATAGCGGTAGCGTTTCCTTTCACATAGACGTAAGAAGTAAGACATGAGTAGTATTTTGACAAAACTGCAACGCTCGCTCGAACCCGACTCTCCCGTCCCTCGACCAGGACCCACATGACGGCTCTATCCATGCCCATGTGGGGAATGGGTATGGTTTGTGGTTGGGTGAATTGTCGACATGGCCTCTCAAGCGTTACCAAATTGGGCTTGGGACAATTCGCGGGGGTGGATCCGAAGGCTTCCGGTCTGTCCATGCGGACCATGCCGTCCATCCGGCGCGGCTTGGGATACCAGGATGGGCCCCCTTGGCCGACCATGTAAAAGACGAGATCCCTTTCCCGCAGGACCAGGGGAGTCGACACGACAGCGGGCATTTCCTCAGGCTTCCGCCGAGTCTCCTTGCTTCTTCCCTCATCGTGAGAAACATTCCAAGGACTTGTCAGCGTTGGAAAGAATCTGGACGAATATTCGCCGCATGGGAGGCAAAGGAAATGTTGGCATGTCTGGGAATGAGGGAGAGGAGCACCGAGATTTCACCAACTGGAACAACCTGGACTACGCGTCAAATCTGCTTCTAATACTTGCGACGTTGTGCTCGGACCGCCAGGATGAAGCGACGAGTTTCGCCATTCGTTTTCGCCGTCGCGAGTGTCATCAAACTTTGCACAAGCACAACTTCCGACCCATCAATACTTTCGACCACCACATTGTCCACAGCGGTACTGCCCAGTTCGACCTCAAATTCTAGCGACCTGAGTGCGTATTTAGAGGGGTTGCCTTCTTGTGCTGTAAGCGTGTGCAATGGGCCCCAAGTCATGGTCACAATGTGTATGCGACTCGGGAAACTGCTTGCTGACACCGGGTACACATAGACTCCCTGCGTGGCGGCATCTTTATCCAAAACACAGTGTCGTGATACGTCATGTCTCTGTTCAGATCAAACCATCCCGGATGGCGCAGCCGAGTGTGTCAGAACTTCCTGTGATTTTGGACAACAATTAGGTATGTTGCCGGCAAAGCTCCGCAAGACCTTGACTCTGTTTTGGCCCGAGATGATTTCGCTGACAAGGCATACCCTTGGCTACAGCTACCAAAAACTCGACCGAAACAGCCTGCAACCGTAGACCTCGGGATCGGTCCGGCCAGTACAACGCCACAAGCATAGCCATGTGTGCTGTGACGGTCGTCCTTGTGATAGCTCGACTGGTATTCAAACGGTTTTTCAGTTACCAACGGACCTTGAAGGCAGATGACTGGGCCATTATCGCGTCGGTCCTCGTCGGACTACCATGCACGATTCTAAACACTACAGGACTTACACATTACGGGCTGGGCAAGGACGTCTGGACACTGCAGCCATCCACAATCGCCGAATTTGCCCGATACTTCTACATACAGCAAATCTTGTATGTATTTCTCATCACGAGCATCAAGATCAGTCTGTTGTGCTTTTATCTCACGATATTCCCAGGCAAGACCACCAGGCTCTTGTTATGGATCACTGTTGCTTTGAGCGCATCATTTGGCGTCGTGTCCACCATCGTTTCTATATTTCAATGCGCGCCAATCCGGTTTTATTGGATGCAATACGTGCAAGAAGAGGGTGGAAGGTGCCTCAATATCAACTTGCTCGGATGGATCAACGGTGCCGTGAGTGTCGGCATTGACGTGTGGATGATCGGCATCCCGCTGTCTCAGATTAAAAAGTTGGAACTGCACTGGAAGAAGAAGATTGGAGCTGCAATCATGTTCTTGACGGGAACATTGTAAGTGACGGCGCTGGCGAATGTCCCACCTGAGCCTAGGAGATGCCTGGCTTGGGGCTCGCAATCGAGATTAATTGCCCTGGAGCAGCAGCCGCTGACTATTTTGCAGTGTAACAGTTGTATCCATCCTGCGACTGCAGTCACTTCTCTATTTCTACAGCTCGGAAAACCCCACTTGGGATCTGTGGCATACAGCGTGGTGGTCGACTATTGAGATCAACATCGGCCTCATATGTGCTTGTCTTCCAACGGTCCGACTCATACTGGTCCGAATGTGGCCACGGGTATTTGGAAGTTCCGTCAACTCGACAACGGCGCGATCCAAGTCGTCCAGAGGGAATAGCATGCTGGTCCGGAGGCGGCAGGTCCGGATTGCTAGCCTCGATATCCAACTGGAGAATGCATCATCCGCAAAGATAAAGGAGGAGCAGTGGGAGCCATCTCTGACGGTGCCGGAGGAGCAACGGGACGAAAACTTTTACCATGCCAAGTAGAGAGGGAAAAGAGATGATGACGCGGCGTTACATGGACGAGCGGAAGGAGACATCAGCCGAGGTCGATTGTATATTTCTTGAGCGTGACACGTCGAGACAGGATTTACATTAAAAAAGTAAAGAGTCTTACCTGTATGTAAGCTTAATGGACCTTCCAGTCAGATGCTATGTCTTTAACCCGCCAGAAACGAGTGCGCGGTCTCGGTATGCCACACAGCACTCTGCAAATTAAGCTGATGAAACCAAGAGTGAGGCCGAGTGCTCTGGGCAGCGTCAGCGAAGACGCGCTAGATACCAGAAGGGCGCAGTTTGACTAATATTACTGTCGGCCATGTTTTGATGTAAACTGTGTCATTACTGCTCCAGGTGCTTTGGAATTCTTGCGCGGATTTGTTTTCTACATTGGGAATCCTGACAATTTCCGGGTCGAGCCCGTCTCGTTCCGCATACGGTGTTCTGAGCGGCGTAGAGCATCATATTGGGTATGTCTAATCAACGAAACTCTGTACATTTGGGTATATGGGAGCTGCAAAACTTCTCTGCGTATTGCCTTTGGCATGCACTAAAACAACTTCTTGACCATGCCTTGAACAGGGTCTTGAACAACACTATCCTCGGCTTATGGGAATTAACCAAAACGGGAACAGAGTGGACTGCTTGAAGACCCGGTCACTAGGAATATGCATACATGACAACATGGTCTTGTTCGAAATTGCATGCTCAGGTCGCCAAGGTCGTTGTAATGTACGTACGTACTCCGTACTCCCAACACGACAGACCAGACCCCAAAGTACCTGCCAAGGTACCTCTACCTTAGGTACCTAAATATCTCCATGGTCCTCGGCCTTGCATTGGTAGACAGCCAGGATGACAGGAGAAGTGGCCCTGCGGTACCTCAGGAGGCAAACATAATTTGCGATTGGGATAACGAATGGATATTAATGCGGCGTGGTTTCTGGAGGCGATGCCTTCCCTCTGAGAATTAAGGTTGGCGCTATGGCGGTAGACGTTAGTGTTTCATTTATTAGGCATGAAATTATAAATTCAAACCAAAAAAACATACAACACCGGGTATTCGCTGGTCGTCACCGACCCAACTACTAATCCGGCGCTCGTCAGGTTATCATGGGGGATCGGACGAGGCCCTGAACTTTGCTAACGGCTATGATCGTATGTGCTAGGCGGACTGTCTATTAAATCTCATATTCCTAAGTTTAAAGAAATCCACGTGCGAAAGGCCAGGGTCTCTCCTGCCATACGCACACGCCCTTGTCTAGGAGTCCTGTAGTGGCAAATAAAAGGGATACAATTTTGTTTTACTTGCACGGTAAACGGCCTCGCCAGCGAAACTTTATCACCGCAGGTGCTGCTTCCTTTCTTTTTCTTGATAATTGTGTCCGCTCCCCTTCTTCTCCCGTCGTTTCCCTTCTTGGAAATCCTTCTCCCCAAGGGCTTTCCCAAAGGCTCCGCAAGCTTGTGGACGCATACAGTCGCGGCCCCTGGAAATTGTGCATAGTAGCCCAGTTTCTCATACACGCCAGATGAAACTGTGTACAGCCTCGTTCTGCGAAGCTCGCTTACCCAGCTGGCCGAGCCATATCATCAAGCGGCATTATTCACAACGACAGCTATACTTGAGAATATAGGCGGGATCAGTGCTGGGCCGCTGTCGGCTGTTAGCTTTCGAATTGGTCTCTCGCTGGGCGATATATGGGCAGGCCTGCCCTTTCTTTTATCTGTCATTCTTTCCATGGCGACCTTGGCGATTCTGTATCCTGTGAGAGCCTAGCAGATCTTTAACACCGCCTGCGATAACATCTACTCGTCCGATGGACGACGACGAAATGGCCCCAGTAGCGAACAAGTGTAAAGACGGGCTTACCAGAGATGCTAATTTAAATCTAAAGACCAAGTAATTTAATTTTCAATTATAGACTGCATTTAAACTTAGCGATAATAGGGTACTAAGCGAAGTGGTTCTTATCCTACGGTAAAATGTAAAGCTAGACCAAGTGATATAATATCACGGCTTAACCCGCCTAATTAATGAAGAACTAAGAATAAAACCTTATCACATAATTTAAGGACATTATTACCATACCCCATTCACTTTTTTAAATCTTGATCTTTTATTTCTGAACACGCAAGCGGTTACCACCATCTCTAAAGAACTTCCCAAGTCTATCATGAAAGAGTCAATCACTTTTATATCACAGCGGAAAGCCTGGTATCGCGTATCCCGGTTTAGCTTTATATGGAAATATAACGGCAGCGATAACTATATACGTTAAAGTAGCGTGGAAGAATTCAACCATTCGCGATAACACATTAACCACGGTCCGCCAATGGATGGAAGAGGATAGCATTGGGGGAAGAGTGGTTTTAGGACGAAGGTTAGGCCACGGAGGGGGCAGCATGTTCAATTGGGATGTTCCGTTAGTTGAGTGTTCATTTTCCATGGGGTCACATTCAATATCAGTTCCTAGCGGACATGGATGGAGGAATCCAGAACCAGGGTGTTCTTGTTGGGTTAAAAGGTGATGTTTAGAGGCTTTTGGTCACGAAAATTGCTTTCCTAGGGACCAACTTTGGCTCGAATGCCGAGTCACGATGCAGGCGTTTTCGGCGGATGGGGGTCTGACCGGGGATAAAAGGGTCAAATTTGCAGGATTTCAGGGCTTTCAACGAAGAAATGTATCCATCATTTATATCGCCAAATTCATTATTTTCAGCCCTCAACAAGCTTTCGGTTCTGCTATGCGTACCGCTCGATAATGACGTTGTCTTTCCGACGGTCCTTGGTATAATATGTTACGTCGCAGGTCGGTCTCTTTTGTCTAGATTGGCCCTTGCAGTGCCTGTAACCAACGAAATTACACTATGAAGGAACCAATAGTCTCTTCACGCAGTTGGGAGTGAATATGACAGGTGATAGCCCATTCAGCGCAAGCCATCTTCCCTCTTTTCCCTGCGAGCGGATACCGATACTGTCGTTAAGCTGTCTTCGAGACTCATAAGGCTAATAATCCGCAATGAAAGCATACGATAGACGAGGTCAATCTTAGGACGACTAGCTCCTCTAAAGAGTTTTGTCTTGTTCTCGGGGCCGAAGCTGAAAATAATACCGATACGGGGTTCTTCCTCTCTGACCGAGTTCTAAAGTTTAGAAGGCCCTTTGAACTTGGATCACCATTCGGGTACGATGGCTCGCTTGCCTCAGATTTTAGCCCTCGTACATATTCCAGCCATGCTACAGGATACCCCTACTATGACAACGTGGCGGTGGTCACGAGGATACGGGTTTAAGCTTTGAAGTCTAACACACCGACCCCGCTTGGTGAAAGACCATATATATTGTATGGACCCCGAAGCCAGTTCTTTTAGCACCAAGCAGCAACGAATTTCATTTATCTGCTGTAAATGAAGCCTTGCCAGAAGCAGAACAATCCAGACCGAAAGCCCCGGATCCGTGAAGGGCTTCCTGAATCTGTCAATGAAGCTGCGCGGCTATTTGTTTCGATTGAGGAATCTGAGCAGATACTAGCACAGCTTCAACAGGCTTGCGTCCGGAACAAACAGGTTCTATGGAGCGGAATAAGCAGAGAAGTTGCCCAGGGCTGGGCGGACAAACACCATTTACAGACTTTGACGACGGTAATGGGACCACTTATGGACATACACGATCCGCGATGCCCTCGCCGGCATAAAGGCCATGATGCGTGGTCAGCATATGTACATGGGGCTTCGGTTCTATTCGCTTGGTATATTGCGGGAGGCGACATCGTCACGGTTTTGTCCCAACCTCCGCCGCAGCGTTTCAACCCTACTGGGGAGGCTTACTACCAAACTGTTGAGGAACCCATTATCACGGGAAAGCTATGTGACAGGCATGTAAATCAAATTTCGGCTGTACATCCATGCGTGGAGGAAGCTTCGGATTTCGAATACGAACTATGGCCAGAAGACCACGTCTCATCATGGAGCGATATGTTCGGAAAGATCTCACGGCGACATTGCTGGCGTCCTACAAAGCTGACCCCAGCAGTGCAATGTTTAAAGGTCCAGAACTCAAGTATATCCCTACATACTTTTAGGTGCTTACAATGCTAAGCGACTTATAATAGGCCAAGATTCTCTCCGAAGATGTCGCAAAACAGTTGACGGGTCCGCTGTCTTCTGACGCAGGAACAAGACACGTAAACGCGGAGAAGACTATAAAAAAGAATACGGCAGGCCTTGAGAAAAAGGAGAATCTTCGAGAAAGGCGGCAAGTATCACAGACCAAGCCCGTTAAAAAGAAGAAGAAAAAGGTGAGGAAAAGTCAGAAGAAGGGGAAGGAAGGAAAACAGAAGGCCCAGGACAAATCAAATTGAGGCTCAAAGCCGGAGAGGAGAAAGGCAAAAGTGAAATGACAAATTATTGCAACAAAGGAGAAGCCAGAGAGGGCAGCAAGGGAAAAGCCTAGCGTCGAGAGGGTCCTTCAATGTTAGTTGAAGAGTTTGGCCACAATGTAAAGTTTTTAGTTTGAAAGTTACAACACAATTTATCTTTCGGGCGACAGCAGCTCGATCCTGTTGTTCTCAAATTCTCCATCTCTCCATTAAGTTATTTGCAACCAGTTCCCGGATAAATACGCGAAACCAGGCTCGAAACCCATAGACCAGATTAGTAGGATAACCCAGTGGCTTGCCTAAAGGGGAGCGATGTCAAGAGGTAAGGTGATGTACCTAATTGAGTGTATAATCGACAAGTAAAGTCTCAGGAAAGACGACTATCAATTAAAACATTTACTCGATACTCGCACTTGGAAACTTTCGCGCCTCTTAATTTGGCCTGTTTGTTTCAACGAGGTCCAAGCCCTCAGACTGTCCTGCCGGTGACAGGGCGCCCCAAGGACTGCGGCTTTTCAAGGCTGGATTGTTTCATTGTAGCATAGTGCTACCTATGGCACAATTCATTCCACATCTAAAAAGCTGTGCCTGCGGTGTCGTTATCATGTGGATCCTAGCAAACAATGCAAGCCTAGGTCTCACTCTAATTCATCGCAGAACTTCAACATTTGCGACATAGGGACTCGACATGAGGTTGTCTACTTGTAGCTGGACATCAGAGACACTTTTAATCACGGAAGACGGGGTATTTGATTGAGTCTCTGGCAAAGGGAGACCGTCGAAGTGGCTTTGTACGTGTGACAGAGCTGGCCACCAGTGTGACAAGGGCTTGTTTTCAAGGGGCTTGGAATAAAAGGGCTCAATTCAATGATAATCTTGTATGGTATCAAAGGTCCTTGGTTTCCTTAAGCCTTGAGGCGAGGGGAGACCGTCTTATATACATGAAGGAAACGGCCCGTGCCTAGTAGGCCCCATAGTTCTCGTGATCTCATTGTGTAACGGATAAGTCCTTTGTCGGTGAGGCCCCTTTGTTGGGCTTCACGATCTGTTGGGCTTTTTTCGTGTAACAACCAGCGTAAGAATATGCTCCATTATCCAGCAGTTTCTGATTCTAACCAAGCTGTAAACGTGATAGAAACTATATTTATGTACTGCTTAAAGCTCAACATCACACTTGGCGCATATAAACGTCAAGTCACTACTACCACGATAAGAACAAAAGCCGGGGAAATTCAGGTTACGTTCATCAGACGAGGATTTTTGGGAGCTGGCTGCTAATATCTGCAAGGTCCAGATGTTGCACATCGGTCATCTGTTGGTTATTTCATGGCGCACTACGCGTGTAGATTAATATAGATGGAGGATTGATAGGTACTGACGCTTTCAAGATATCATTCTAAAGCTGCATCTTGTCCGCTTGAGGCATGTTCCGCTACAACGGCAACAGGTACAGTAAAAACAGCGCATTGCAGTACGGATCTCTCTTGCAGGGACTCTCAGACCTCGGATGAGTCTATCCCTTGCAGCGCGCGTAGTACTTTGCACAGAAATATATAGCCAATCACACTTCACTTGTCGAGCGCCTCACACATCATTGTAGGTTAATAGGTGGGTGACCCAGTATGGAAATGTGAAAGCCTTTGCATTCGCATGATAGTACAGGGAAAACCCTAACGATAAACAAGCCGCGGGGGAAAAAACCTGCACAAAGGCGTCCTAGAAGCTCCACCATTGCCCATTTCCGTGTCCTTTAGCTCCCACAATGAGGTGCATTCAATCCTTCAAGGGATCTTAAACGCATTTGATAGAGTGAGACGCAACGGCGACGGGCCATACCCTTTGAAGGAAGGGCTTCCTATTAAAGATATACCCAGGGCCTTGACACTGCGGACCCCTGCGTGACATTTGATGTCAGCCAACATCGAAATCAATACCAAGCGGTCAAGGAAGGCACCTACCGATGCAGGGCGCAGCGATGTGCGCCAATAACTCGAATCGAGCGCACATTTCCCCCGCTATTAACCTTTGTCAATAAACCAAAAACGCCATCACCACTTTGCGAGGGCTTCCCTAGGCTTACATAGGACCATGAATCGGCACACACTGGTTATACTTTGTAATCACCTGCTGCGGATTGCCATCATCTGGGTTTCTATAGACGATTGCCTGCGTTCAATGTGATGTGAGACCACTAACGCTGCGGGTGCATTTTTTTGAGGGGTGGGACAACCCACTGCTGGGGCTGGGATGTATTCAGACCCGTCCACGTCCACGTCGTGTTGATCGCCGTCCATGTCGTATTGAGCGTCGTCGTATTGAGCAACGACGCCCAGAGCGGCAGTTACAAGAGTGAATAACTTTGTGAGATGCATTATTTTTTGCTCGGTAACTTGAGATTTGAAGAGCAGCGTGGTGAATGAGAAGGCAATATTGGGAAATTAAGCAGATATTTATACTTGATCACTCTCCTGTTTATAAGCACCTGACGACTTATTGGAGCGTCATGTAGTAGTGTATGTATTACCGGGTAGGGCGTAGTGGCCCGTAGTCATCGGAATGTTCTGGCCCGAAGCCACGGCGCAAGTCCAATAGTAGAGTTGAGCATAAACGAATAGAACACCAGGAAATGAGGGAAGAGGATAGTAGGTTAGCTCGGAAGTTTTGGGTGGTAACTTAAACTTGAATTCTCATATTATTTACTTTGAGTCTCCTTGGTAGAACTGGTGCTATTACTGGCAGACAACATGTTCTATGAACATTCCTTGGCGAAGTTAAGAGCTGGAATATACTACGTTTTGAAAAGCCGTCAAAGATTCAAATACCTAAATAAATAGAAAGCTCCCGCTCGGGTGAGACAGCCATGGGGCCACAGCTGATGAGCTCACCGTGGATGCGATGTTGCACCTATTAGTATAAAGTCTCAATTGACAAAGGCAAAGACAAAAACAAATATACGTAACAGGCGATTAGAGTAGCGTAAAATTCCATATAAGAAGCATATTTTAAATCCCTTCCAAGAATTATAGAAAGATTTTATGATAACCCTAAGATTGTTCAATGCGGAATATATTGAATTTGAGCTTATTACCGCCCCGAGCCCACACAGAATTAGATTTTCTGCAAGGTATGCTAATGAAAGTTTAATAAATTAGTAGTTTATCTTTGGCCAAAATAAACGGAAAGATTCTTTGGATACATAAAAGTGCTACATGACTTTCATAACCTGGTTAGAAGACGATGTGTTGTGTACTACAAGTGTGGGTCCTGTCTGGTTGGATAAAACTGCCTCTGTTAACTGAAACACGCAAGCGCTCTTGCCGCCAGGGTGGTAAGTAGCAACAGTAGATCGTTATACTACTATTGAGGAAACAGTATTCTGAAAGATTATATATGTTGAGTTTGTAGAGTTTAAGAGAGGGCACAACAAGAGAAATAATTTTATCGAGAAGCTTAAACAATGGGCCTTATATTGTCATGTCGTACTTTGCACACTATTGCGTTGTACATACGTACGTACGTTGGAGTGCTGTACGGTACACGTAATATACACGTACGAGGGAATTTAGGGGCCCACAACGTACGTACGAAACCGGAGGCTCTCAGTCCGCAACATTTACTTTGTTACGACTTGGAAGTGACTTTCGTGTCATGTTTGCTTGTCTATAAAAAGGGGTCGAATCCGGCCTGCTAGCTGCGGGCAGCTTCCACGTACTGCCCCATCACCCGACTCCGGGACGTAACGGATGTCGCCGACACGAAGAGAAATGGCTGTTCCTGGCTGTCTTGTCTGACGAGCACTCGTAATAACCTCATGACTCGATAACCGGGCTGTCATCAGAGCTGCTATAGTAGACTTCCTCAGGCGGTGGGGTTGGAAGCTCGTAGCCGGGTTGCTGACCCAGGCCGTTGGAAGCTTCGAGCCGGGCGCAATTGAGCCAGACGTTGCAGCCAGGCCCGGATTGAAGCTGACAGCACGTTGGTATGGGCGCCATTCAGCCAGGACATGAGTTGCTGGAAGACTTTTACAGCTTTGACTTCCTTGCCACTATGATGTTTCATCGACCACCAACAGTATCCATGGAGGGCGCATGGGACGAGATGGACTCAGAATTCTCCATTGAGTAGGTTGGTAATATAGAGAAGCTACATATTACTCGATCCAGTTGGGCATCACCCCGCTAGGCCAAATATTCCGTCTTCCAAAAGTATTGGAGGAGTTTACTCTTATTCGTGGAGGGCTGTTCTCGCTTGAAAGGAGATGACGGTCAAGAAGAGCCACCCTGTAATGGAATCGGCTTCCTTCACGACTTCACATCGCTCACACACCTGGGTATCTCGTTGCAGATGTTCTTTCGGTCCGTCATTGAGCCATATTTTGGCACATATAGCCGGGTCAAACCAAAGACAAAAAATTCACTCATTCAGCTTCCCCGGCCTACTTTGAGTATCTTTACATCTGCAATAATATTCTGGGTAAAGTTATCGATCTTGACCAAAGCATTGATGAGCTCCGGTCTTGAAAGAGCGAAAAGTTTCCGAGACTGAGGGAGATTGAGGGCGTCGAGAAAAGTATTGAAGATGGGATCAACTATCTCACACTCCTCGATACTTTAGGGGTCATTGATGAACCTCCGCCCCCATTATGCTATGCCCGAATGGTGCAAGAATGGAAGATTGTAGATGAACCGAAAGACAATTTTACAGTCCAACGACTGCAGAAGTAGACAAAATTGCAGAAAACCTTCCCACGGCTCTCTTGTACGAGTACAATGAATGTGAGTAGTTTCCTCACAACCTACAGAGATGTGATTGTCAATCTTTCGATTCATCCACTGGTAATGACTAGTTCCTACTACCAATAAGTGTTAACGACTTTCATATCCCTATAAAACTATTTATTCACAGCATTTAGATTACTGAGAGAGGTGGCTAAAGGGTATCCACAAGCTTAAGATTTAGATTATCTTGCTAGCGAAAATGCCCACTCAACTTTCAGCTGTAATGCTTGATACCAGAATATTCTTAGCATACTTTAGATAAGCTGATAATAAGACTATTTTGTCTTTAATGCTACTACAGCCCTCACCAGAATTAGAAAATCTTGTACTATATTATTGCACGGGCGTCACGTAATAAACGCACGGGACGACCCTTGAACCTGAGATAGTTACACAAGGGCTTGAGACATAGTTGAGGCCTCGGGCCCAAGGCTCGCTTACTCACCGCCGCTTTCTATAAATAAGAGTTTTCTGCCCTTCAAGGCCTTAAGAAAACAAAGACTTTTAATATCAAAGCGAATTATGAGCTGAAATGAATACCATTTCAAGCCCTTTTAAACAACCCCTTGTCACCCACATCGAATAGAAGGGTTCCTTCTAAGGCCACTTGGTCATCTTGGCACTTAAACATATCCTTTTAGACCGACACAATTTCAACCCGATTCCGGGCAACAGCGCGATTTAAACACACGCCTTAACTATCTATTTGCTGAGATCCGACGCTATGACCGACTCGATGGTTATCGTAATCTGAGCACAGCGTTCCGGAAACCTCGCGTTCTCAGCCGACAGCAATCTTCCATTTTTTTATATGTGTACCCTGCAGCTCGTCGTCCTGTATCGTTCAGAAAACGGACAAGGGCTAGGTTACCGTCGGGATGAGTCTGTGTCTTGCTAGAGACGAGACCATGTCGTCGCGAACGCACGTGGCAATTACTTTAATGGGTAAATTCTCTAATATGGCGAGATGTTATTAACTCCAAGTTGGTCCTGAAGGCCCCAAGTGCTGAAGGGGGAAGCCACTCCGCCACTTTTGCCACTAAGGTGGCCTTATCTACTGTGTAGCTTACTCGCCTTTACAGTCCGTACTATCGTTCACCCGTTCCGCCTATCAGGGTTAAATGCAGACGTATGACTTGAAGCATTATTTCAATGGAAAGAGTCAACTTCCATTTCTTTCTGCCCCCATGTAACATTGAGCGCGGCCTGGAAAAGCTGGCGTCAAGGTTCCAACGCGCATAGAGTCCGAACAGCTTGTCATTGTATCCTCTGGCGAGGAATCAGACATGCCTGAGTCGCCAGGCACGATGAATCCAGAAGTCTCAGTAGAGTCACCATTTGAAGCCACTAAAGGGAAGTCATAAGTTAACTTCCTAGCTAGCTTCGAATGCTGACAGGAATATCTTCAAATTTTTGGTACCCTACGGGGCACTGGGTGCCTATTCACTATTCTAAGTAGTCGGCCTTTGGAATATGGGCGAGTATTGCCAGACTTCGACAACCAGTCAAGTCGCCTTCCTATAAGAGACAGCGCCTTTTACAGCACATGTGCACGTATTACAAGTTGTATCGCACTGCTGGAATAAAGAACTCGGTTGACGGACTCTCCAGCCTGGGCAAGAGAACGGAGATTTATATAAGTTCGCCCATTGTCGTCTACCCCCTTCTCGCGTCAATACTCATTCTGCCTCGGATAAAGAAGGATACTAAACGTGACTCCAGTTTTGTCGCCATTTCGGGATTCTTGCCTGGCGTCGCGAGTTCTGCGAGATTCGTTGTCCTGTTGATGTGGTTATGACCAGCGGTCCAGACAGCGGCGCTTGTCATTCGCGACAATTTGCGACCAAGGCTGAAAATCCAGCCAATATGGACATTCGGAGCAGTGGTGATTGTGTGAATCGTGTAAGATCGCACTGGGGGGGGGGGGGGGGGGGGGGAAAACAACAACGAAG